AATATAGAGAGTAAAGAGATTATACCAAGTTACACTTTAGCTGCTATAGTAAGTGTAAAAATAAACTAAAGTTAATAAGTAATTATAAAGCGTATTTTAAAACACAAAAGTAATTTAGTATCTTTCTACCTCTTTTCTATAGTAAGGATTTTATTATATTATAGTTACTACTCTATTTTCTAATTCTATTTTGCCTAGTTAGTAAAATACTGCTATACTAACAATATTAATTTTTTAGCTTAGCCCAGAAGTTATAGATCTTTACTTTCTAGTCTACTAATAGAAAATAATAGATACTAGTATTTATTAAAATCAAGAAAGATCTTAAAGTATACTAATTAGAGTATACCAAAATCTATATATATAATTAAAAAGATTAGTAAGATAACTTTGTAGGTAGTAGAATCTTCTACTTAGTAGTTATAAAAACTTACTTAGTTTTTTCTATTTTTAAAAAAAACAAGTTAAAGAACTTTACTGTAAAAAGTAAAGCTCTTCTAGCTTTATTATAATTACAACTTTAATAAATTCTAATATAGAAAGAGTTATCTAAAACAACTATTACTAAGTTATTATCTACTATAAGCTTAGAAAATAACCTTATACCTACTTTATACTATTTAGATTTCTATATTTTAACAATGTAGTAGTTATAATGCAATTGTAGTTTTCTTAATTTCTAGAGCCTGTAATCGCTCTTACTAGAGATTGCTATAATTACTGTAATAGTTAGTATTATTAAGCTAGGAGGGCTGTGCTCTACGGAGCTAAGTTCTTAAACTCTTCAAGAATACTAGAAGAAACTAACTATAACACTTAATAAGTAATAAAGAATTTTCAGTATAGCTGTATAAACTCTAATTTTAGTTTTTTTCTTAAATAAGGCTATAGAACTTATAAATTCTTCTCTAAAAAGCTATATTATTATACCTAATAAGCGTACTACTAAGTAGACTAATATCGCCTTTACCACTTATTAATAATGCTACTTAAAACAAGCTTTTTAATAACTTATTAATATTTAAGAAAACTATTCCAAGTATTTAAAGAAATATATAACGTTATAAATATAACTAAGTAAATCTACTAGTTATATTTTATACTTGTATATGTAGTTTAAGAAGATTATTATACTATATATAAACTAGAGGACGGGGATTAATGTGTTACGTTACTATTATGTTTTTATGCACGCGTTTTAATTGTTTGTTAATCTTTATTTAGCTAAAGTTTAACCTAGTTACAACCCTCTGCTTCCTATTGCTATTGCTATTACTATTACTGTTACTATTGCTATTACTGCTACTTTAAAATTAGCTAGCTTTGTCCTTATTTTATATTAATTATATAGCCTTATAGTAAGGTATTACACCTACTAGATTACTACTATAATTCTTTTTTTCTAGGTAAAGTACCTAGGATCTATAAAACCTTACTTAAAGTAGCTTTTATCTTTAGTTAAAGCAGTATTATTATACTACTTAGTAGTAAGCTTATTAAGTTAGAAGAGCTAGGTATTAAAGAAAGCTGTATTAGTCTTATAAACTAATATAAGAAGGAGCTAAACTCTAACTTTATAGAGCTATACCTTAAGTCTCTTATTAAGCTTAAGGCGCTGTAAGATATCTTTATCTTCTAGGTAGAAGGTATTACTATTATACTAAGTAATACTCTCTATTTCTTCTTACTACCTAACTAGGTCCTTAGAGATCTTACTAGAGATATCTAAAGCAGTAATAACTCTCCCTGCCTCTTTAATAAGCTAAGGTGTTTCTAATATTTCTAAGCTGTACTTGTACTAGGAATTACTTACTTTAATTCTTTACTTATTAGCTTACTACTAGACGCAGTGTAGGAATACCTAGGCTGCGCTAATAGAGTTATATTATTAGTTAGCTATAATTACAGTTATAAAGAAAGATAAGATAAATAGATAAAGACTTCTAAGGTGTAAAGGATATTTATATACTAGCTTATCTATATAAACTGTTATTACTTATACCTCTACTAAAGCTACTCTAGTTATATATTTAGAATTACTAGTTAATAAAAGAGTTTTTATAACCTAGCTATAGTTTATAATATAATCTAGAGTTTATAACTAAACTAAACTTTAACTAACAGCTGCCTAGGCTCTTAAATACGCGTCTGTATTAATATATTAAGCAGCTAGTTATTAAAAGAGAGCTAATTAGCTCTCTATTACCTTTATTATATACTCCTACTAATATTTACTATGCAAAAAGGGGCTAGGTATTAGCTTCTATACTAAGTTACTATATTAAATTCTTATAATATTGCGTCTATCTACCTGTACTACAAGCATAAATACGCTATAAACCTAAAATAATACTATATATAAAATCTTATAAAGTAACCTAGTCTATAAGCTAGTTACTAGGTCTTTATTAATAGTAAATTTAGTAGAAGTAAATAGTAATAGAAAGAGAAAACTAATTTAGTATTTCTAGAAAACTTATTATTAGATATACCAATATAAATAAGATTTAAAAGTCTAAGAAGTACTTAGCGTTTAGTTTAGCTATACGTAATAAACTATACTTTACTAAAGAAGACTAATTCGTATTTAAGTAATCTATAATATTTATTTAATTCTCTTTAAAGAGAGTATTAAGAAAAATAGTTTTTAATAACAGAGTATTATATTAGTTTTCTTTTATCTTCTAAGCTAAAATCCTTACGATTTTATATTAAAGCTAGTCTATTATATATTGAAAATTATAAGGTTATTAACACTAGTAATTTTATTCTATTTGTCTATTGTACTCTAGAGGACAGAGATTAATATATTACGTTACTATTATCTTCTTTTATCTGCGTATTAAGTGTTTATTAGCTTTTGTTATTTATACTAGCTATAGTAGCAAAGGTTTAACCTACTTATAACTCTTAACTTCCTATTAATATTGCTATTACTGTTATTATTACTATTACTATTACTATTATTATTATTACTGCCTCTAGCTTTATCTTTATCTTATATTAACTATATAGTCTTACAGTAAAGTTCTTTACCTTCTAGATTACTTCTATAATTCTGTATCTCTAGGTAGTAAACCTAGAATCTATAAAAGCTTACTTAAAGTAGCTTTTATTTTTAGTTTATATAGTAATATTATACTACTTAGTATTAAGCTTATTTAGTTTAAAAAGCTATATATTTTACAAAGCTATATTAGTTTTTTATAATTATATAGAAAGAAGCTAAATATAAATTCTATAGAGCTATACTAAGTCTTCTATTAACCCTTAAGTACTATAAGATATCTTTATTTCTTAAGTAGAAAGTACTACTATATTACTAAGTATAACATACTATTTTTCTCTACTACCTAAGGAAGTTTATAAATATCTTACTAACAATATCTAAAGTACTATACTAGTACTAGTAATTACTTATACAAATTCTTTAATTATTAGTAAGTAATACGCTATAGTATAAAAACTTTTATAGTAGACTAATAAAACTAAATTCTTAGTAAAGTATAATCTAAGTAGTAAAAAGAATAGATAGAAAATATAAATAAATAGATAAAGTCTTTTTATTTTACCTCTTAATATAAAATAGATATTTATATATAAGCTTATATTATTACTATTAATACTTAGTTTTATAATTAGAATTACTAGTTAAATAAGAGTTTCTTATTTTTACTATAGTTTATAACCTAAAGCTAAACATAATTATAATTTTAACTTAATTTCTAAAATACGTGTCTATATTAGTATATTAAATAGCCTTTTGTTAGGATATAGCTAAATAGCTCTTTATTACTTTTACTTTATTCTCTTACTAACATTTACTATATAAATAGGATCTAAGTATTAGCTTCTATTAAAAGTTACTATATTAGATTCTTACTATATTATTTTTATCTGCCTATACTATACGCATAAATCTGCTATTAACCTATTAGAAAAAAAAATAAGTCTATCTTAATAGCTTCTAAACTAATTTTTCCTTTAGTAAATATAAAACTATAGGTAATAAAAAAATAAAAGTTAGTACTTATATAGTACTTAAGATATCTTAAGTAGAGTCTTTTAAGACTAAGCTATGTAGTAAGAAGAATAAAGAAGTTTTACTTAGTATAAAAGTAATAACTTTTCTATATTAGATTAATATTTGTAAAAGTATATTAAGCTTAAAAAAAATCTTTAAGTATAGCTTTATAAAGTTAGAGTTCTGCTTTTTTAATATTAGTCTTTAAAAATTAGATAGTTTCTTATTAATACTTAACCCTTTTAGTTAAATAGTCTTATAACTTAAATTTTTTATTAATAGCTTTCTATTTTGTATTAACAGCTATTTAAATCTATTATAAACTTTAAGAATACTAGTTATAAAAGTAGACTTATAAGAAAGTTTTTATTAGTTAATAATTAGATTACAAATTTATTAAATAAGTATAATATAAGAATAAAGCTAGTTTATCTTAGTAGAGGGAAGTAGTTTTTGTAATAGTAGTAGTAATAGTAATAGCTATAAAAAGTTAAGAGTAAACAGTTTAGAGCTAGGTTAAACTTAATATTAAGAGTTTGTAAAGTTTTTATCTAAAAATTAATAACTAATTTAAATAAGTTATTTACTAAGATAAAATAGTAGTATTATATATTTTTTACAATTTGATATAGATAGAAACGCTATAACTAAGTAATATAAACTTATTAAGTACTTTAACTAAGTATATCTATAAAATAACTCTATAGATTATACTTATAACTTAATATATTTTCCTTTATTTAGGCAAGAGTCTTACTATAATTTATAAGCTAACATTAATAGGACAGTAATTTATCTAGTATTATAGATATAACTTACTATAGCTTTAGGGCTGTATACTTATTAATAGTATTAATAATTTTTAAATATACTGTTTTTTACTATATCTTTTGTTAATAGATCTAATTACGTAATATTATAAGTACACAAAGCTACGTATGTACAATTTAGTATTATAGCATATAAAGATAGATTACCTGCTACTTACTTGGTGTAGCCCTTTTAGTATATATACTTCCACACTAGCGCACGTGACTACCCTCTAGCAAGTGTCTGCATGGAATGCTAGGCGGTACCTAACGTTATGCTTTTATTTCCTATTTTTGCTACACATCGTTCAACCATCAATTCATTGCATGTTCTCTGTTATGAAATACGCAATTATAAAACTATTAAACCCTACAGCGTGACCAGCTGATGGGTATCGGAAAAAATGGAATAACAATCTACATGCTCAGGAAGTAACATCAATAACACGTGACTGAGACTACCACCCTAAATCAGGGTCAATTTGTGATTGTGCCTGACATTTGGTCGTTGTTCATCTCACAGTCTCGCACATTTTGTGTTTGTTCGTTTCATCGTCGACTTTGCTCGCTGACAAAACTTGTAATGCTCTGGGCATCCTGATCTCGTTGATATGAGTACTCATGCGCATCGCCTTTGTACCCGTTGTCCCACGCCGCGATTCGCGACAAAAGCCTACACATGTCAAAAAAACAATTCAGAAAGTCTAGGTCAAGGATGCTCACCTGTCGTCAGGCTCAAGTTGGGACTGGTCAGGTATGAACTCGTAGTCACCCTCGTATGGGAGGTATATGGATGAGGCTGCGATGCCCAGACTTGTCAACACAAGTAAGATCCAGGATGCTGTACAGAGAGACCAGGACGCGTCGAGGTGCCAGCCGCTCCAGAAGCGAGAGTCGTTGTCGAAGAGGAAGGCCTATGATGGTCAGCCGTGTTACATATGACCATATACCAGCAACAAGAGTGCGGATATAACGCACCACGATAGCCATGCCTGCGCACTGAACGAAAGCACTGAAGAGCAGCACAGAGGCCACTATCCCCCATCCCTGCACTCTGCGCTGCACGCCACCTGCCATGATGACTACGAATGAGACCAGTGTGCACAGCTCGACGACGACGCCAAACGACGTCAAGAATCCCACGGTCCTCCACATGTTGCAGAAGGACGCATCCTTTGCGCAGTCGCTGTCGCGAGGAAAAGGGACGCAGGTACCGGTGACGGCCGAGCAGCGGCTGTGGAGGCCGTACGAGTACTCGCGCTCGCCGTTCTGGAACGGTCAGACATGGTGCTTGAATAAAGAGGGACTCGGGGTGGCACGGAAACGTACCGGACTATAGCTGACCCATCGCGGCATGGCGATGCTGGCAATCGTCATGACGGTGCCTGCGCGTTGTGTCAGTCTCTGCGCCACGGCTTCGCACATGCTGCCACACTTACAAGCAATGGTGAAGACCAAGCTCACGGCGTACACTACCACTCGCGTCATGGTGAAGAGACACCCGTCGCCTCTGTCTGCAGCTATGAATACAGAGTGTCTCGAGCAAGGGCGCGGCGAGAGGAGTTGCGGGGTCGAGGTAGTACGAGGGTGCGTGATCTGGGCGTGAGGTGTGGACGCTGCCGCCTCAAGGATCGCCGGCACGGTACGCTGCTGCTCCTCCAGGCAGGTTGCGACGGAGCAAATAGGCGCGCAGGATGCGAGGGAAGCTTAGAGTACTTGGTATGGAGGCGAGGGGTCTTCGCTGGTCTTCGCTACGCCGCGCGTGCAGGCTTCCAAACGTCAGCAAAGATAGCAAGACATGGTTGCCGTGGGCGAAAAAGCTTCGAGGCGACCAGCGTGCCGCACCACAACCCTGTCGGTCACGTCGGGGTCTGGCCATGACGTGAGCTTGGCAACTGCCATCCCGGACCAGTACGCGCTGCGTCCTTTCACCGCTAGATACTACAACCCCAGCACGCGCCGGCTCGTGTAGCCGTCACTCATATTTGCTTGTTTCTCTTCACTGGCATCACGCATCCATGAGCAACCACACCCTTGTATGCCCATCTCTTCACTTACACATGCGCTTTTCGGAGCTGCCAAGTCGAGAGTGCTACCCCTGTCAGCAGCAGGCGTCGACTCGGATCGTCCTGATACTTTCCCAGCATTTCCCTGGCTTCGATGCTAGCAACAAACAAGCATGCCGGCGGTCCTCCACATCTTGACAGTATACTGTACAGCATGCTTGGCGAATCGATACGATCGACTCGCCTCCCTGTCTATTATGCCACATATACTATCTACGGATGGTTGCATAGTGTAGTGATCGCCTGCCCATCCATATATCGCTGTGTATCTGCGGCTCGGATCTTGCAAACTCCCTATCACTGACCTCGACTGCATGCGCGAACATGTGGGGCAATGGACATCTCACGATGAACAGAGCTGCTTCCATCTAATGTCTGAACATAGATGAATCAAAAGTAGAAGGGCGATCTGAACACCATCGTCGCTCAACTATGACACCCAAGCCTGTCGACCACCCCCACCACCATTGAAGAATGTTGAGATAACGAGGCAGGGATGTTGGACCCGACAAAAGACGTAACGCGGGGGAATACAACTGCACCCCATGCGTTAATAAACCAGCCAGACGCACCAGAGCATCACTTTTACTGGCTGATCTAAATGCGTCTTTCACATGGTAGCATCAGTCGAGATAGCGACACTACCTACCATTGGACAGAGCCCTTACTGCTAACTGGTCACCAGACCGAGCATCCTCAAGATGGGGACCTGGTGCCCTTCACGACGATCTTCAAAACATGATGCATTGAATCCAAAGAGCACTCAATATTCACCATGTCTGACAGAATTCAATCTATCATTGCAGTCTCTTGATTTACTGATCAACTCTAGAAAAGCGCATCCTCGGACTTGGTCGCTTCGCTCGGTTTCTTCAACATCTCATAGCAGAGAAGTGATGCTGCGACGCTGACGTTCAAGCTGTCAACACCAATCTCATCGACATCGCGGCCATGTCGTATCCCAACCTTGTAATGCGCCAAATTGAGCAGGCTATTCTTCAAGCCAGTTGCCTCAGCGCCCATCATGAGGATCGTCGGGTGGTTATCCACAGGGCAATGGTCCACAGGCAACCGTTTCACACTCTTTGCGAATGTGTACATCACATTGCTGGCTCCATCATCATCTGATTCTGAGGTGCCAGAAGGCTGCTGAGCCGGTGGAACAGCGTCGCTCGCATAGATCCTCCAACCATTTCTGGAGCTCTTTCCCAGAAAATCGGCAGGCTCGCGAACCTTGAAGACGGGGACTGCTTCTGCAGCGCCAGCGGAAGCTTTCAGTGCAATGTGGCTCCAAGGCGCGACTTGGCGAGTAGGAGTTATGATTGCGTCAACGCCGAGAAAGTATGCTGAGCGCGCAATAGCCCCCAGGTTACCTTCATCGAGCTGGAACATGGTTAGTGAGGAAAGCATTTGATAGGTTTGGGGGTGAGCCATACTACACCATCAACGTAGAGTACTAGGGGATGTCGCCATCCTGCGGACTTGTAGGAATATTGCTCCTGCTTGCCGTTGACAATCACGTCTTCTGCACTTTGGTGATCTACTGCAACGCTGAAAAATGCACTTGCTACCGATTCGCTCTTCAATTCAGTAATCGGAGGGCAAGCAAGTGGAGATGCTTCCAACACAACGCCCTGATCCGCGTTAGCACGTACTGTCTGATGCACCACAACTGGTAACTGATCCCAGCAAACTACTCACATTATGCGGTCTGCCACTACTTGCTTTATCAAGAGCGCGCATGTACTCATCTCCGACTTCTTTGGTAATGGACGCAACATTCTTGAAGAGGCTGCGATCGTCGAGGAGGCCATCTCTGTTCGCCCCTCTGGTGTGGATGTACAGGTTGTAGAATTTGCGTCGGTCCGCCTTGACAGCAGCAAGTACGCTCGAATACCCGTAGATGAATTCGGAAGCAGCGGTAGTATATGGCAGTGACTCGGGTGCTCTACTCCTCGAGTCTATAGATTCATCTGTTTTATATGATGAGAAATCTGGTCGACTTCTCGGCTCTCTCTCAGCCATTGGTTCTCTCTGACGTCCCTGGAATTGCTCTCGTCGACCGCCTGCGTAGGGAGGCACGGGTGTCCTTGAGTTCTCCCCTTTGCGGTCGAAATGTACGTGTACATATGGCTCAGCTTCAGGATCACTCCGTGAAGAATTCCACGGTTTTTTCTCGTCCCGTCCTTCGCTCTCATGTTCCCGCCGTGAACTTCGAGATATGGAACGATCTGACATTGGATCTCTCGGACGTCCGAACTTCTTGCCTCGACTTGCAGTGCTGTCTGGTGTGGATTCGGATCGTCGTGGTGACCGTCGTGGAGGTTCGTTATAGTCCTCAGCTTGTCGCCTCTCTCGAAACTCTTGAGACGCACCACGGTCAGACGAAGGCTTGCGGGAATCCTCGAATGACCTGTTCCGTCCAGATGGCATGTCTGACGTCTCAAAGCGTCTGCCGCCATGTGGTGCTGCATTGCGTTCCCGGTCTCCATGTCGTTGTTCGCGGAAGTCCCTTTGGGAAGCACCACGAGACGACGAGGGCCGACTACGCTCGTAGCTGTCACCCGTGCGGGCTCTGGAATCTGATGTTGCAAACGACCTTTCTCGTCGAGGCGGCGGGTCGGACTGTCTCTCTTCTCTTCGCCTGTGACGAGGTCCGTGGGGTGCGGGGCCGCGCGATGACAGGAACAGTTCTCGTTCTCGATCGATTTGCTGGGGTCTAGGGGACGTCACTTCATCTCTGCTGTCCCTACCAAGTCTACTGTCTCTGCCACTGCCATATCTACTGTCCCTATCATTTCCCCTGTCTCGAGTGTCCCTGCCTCCTCTGGAATTTGCACGAGGGTTGGACGCGAACGGATCAGACGAACCGTGCCTGCCTCTCTCGAGCGCCTGGGTGAAGGATTTGTAGCGGCGAAATGTCTGCGGCAGGGCTGCTCTTTGGGCCCGTAGCAGCGCACTACCAAGAAGAACAGGATGTACCATAACCGTGCAGACGCGGCGTGCAGTGTTTGCTGTGTGATATTTGCACAGGTCCGCCGCTACGTTATGCTGCAGCTCATTCCCAGTGCGCGCTAAGAAATTTCAGTGGGGCCCGGATCTGATCGCGTCGTCACGCGTCGAGTCCGTGGCCGAGTGTCGCATCGACCCTGACGGCCGTTGCGCAGCGTTGAGTCCACGATTGGCACCCCATTTTGCGCACTCTTGTGTGAACCAGCTGCAAGCACCACGCGCCCTCACATTGCCCTCTCCAACCCTCTGCAACGTGCTCGCCGTTCACGCCCCTTGTCCAGCCACCGTCGCGTGAGGCATGTCCGACAAGATTGTTGCAGGAACCGCAGACGCACACGCATACTGTTCCCACGCATATCTGTAGCTCCAGCAGGGTCACAGCCATGAGCAGCGAAGAGGACGGCGTCGACCTCATGGCGGCTTTCAAAAAGGGCGGGCGCAAGAGCACGCGCAGTAGCACTGCTGCCCCGCCCGAGCTGTCGAAGCGCGCCTCGTTCTCTCCGGGTGACTTCTTCTCAGACCAGAGCTCGGGTGGAGACGATGACACTATCCAAGTTGTGTTGCCGGCGGCCACACGCAGGGCGGTATGCGTGCGTGTGCGGCCGGTCCAAGACAAGGACGAATACACGTACTACGAGCCGCAGGACGAGGTGGAGCGCATCTTGCGAGAGTCCAACAGAGGAAAGGAGCTCATGTACACGGTCAGACTGGTGGGGGACCAGACCAAGGAGGTAGGTGAGGCTGCGTCTCGATCCCAGTGAGAGAAGCGGGCGCCTTGCAGTGAGAGGAGCGGACGCCTTATAGTGAGAGACGCGAACTCGTTGCCCTCTATATCTCTGCTCTCGATATCTCTGTCCCTCCTGGCCGTCTTTCCTGCGCCGACCACTCCAAGCCAGCAGTGTCTAACGTCGTCTTAGATCACGTTCGAAGAGCTTCTCGAACTCACCGGCGGCCCAGAAGCACTGCAGAGCTTCCAGCACTACGACGACGCATCCTCGCCCAGCGTCGACGAACCCAACATGAGACTCCGCGCCAAGGCACCCAAGACCACCCACGACGGGTTCCTCGACATCTCCATGCTGGACCTCTCCTCCGATGACGAGCTTGCCTCGACTTCACGAGGGCCGCGGAACAACCGCAGGCGGGCGTCAGCCAGGCAGGGCATTGACAGCGAACGTTCATCGACGGCCCGCTCGCGCCGGAGGAACGCCACGGACCCTTCGACCAGCGACGATTCAGAGATTGAGGTCAAAAGGCGAGGGCGACCCCGGAAACCGAAGAAGACACCAGAACCTACGCGCCGCTCCTCCCGGCAACACACTGCCGTGCACGCATACGATCAAGATGAGAGTGAAGACGACGACGATGACGACGACGACGGCGATGGCTCGAGCGGCTCTGACATCCTTCGTTCGGATCTACTTCCTGGCCGGAAGCGCAAGCGGCGGACCCTACGCTCCATGAAGCCGGACAAGGTGCCACGGACTGGAATGCGTCAGTCTGATCGATCAACACGCGCCACCAACAACATGCAAGAGGCGAATGGTGACGACGTGTATCGTTCCGACTCCGAGCCACGAGCAGCCGCGCAAAAGATCACAGTCGTGCGCGAGGTCTTTGAGACGCTTCCACGAAGCAGCCTCTTCCGCTCGCGCCATGTCGAAGGCTGTGAGGTGTGCTTTGATGGACCCAGCGTCGCACCTCTCATCTACTGTCAGGGATGCTCTCTTGCGTACCACAAGAACTGCGTGGGTAATCGAGCAAATCGAGAACACCTAGTCACCAAGGTCGGTCACGAGAGTTTTGTGCTGCAGTGTAGACGGTGCATCAATGTATATCAAAAGAAGGACGCCACTGCGCCTGATCTCTCCCAATGTCAGGACTGTAAGGAACAGGGTGTCTCGTGCAAGCCGTTCAGGCATCGCCAGACGACACAGCAGGAGATGAAGGACCGGGAAGACAACGGCGGCCAAGATCCGGTCGTCGATGTGGCACCAGAACTCATCAACAACGCCCACAACGTGCTCTTTCGATGCACCAAATGCTCTCGGGCATGGCACTATCACCACTTGCCACCACTATCCCAGTATGCCATGGATATTATGCGCGACGACGAGGAAACGGCAGATGACCGATTTCGAGAATATTCCAGCAAGTGGCTTTGCAAAGAGTGTGACGAAACAAGCGACCAAAAGGTTAGCGGGCTCATAGCCTGGCGCCCCTCCGACGTGGAAACGTACCGACCAGGAACGCCATGCTATCTTGTCAACGAAGACGAGAAACAGTACTTGATCAAATGGGAGAACCAGTCTTACTTCCGCGCCGCATGGTACTCTGGAGCTTGGACTTGGGGTGTCACAGCGCCAGCTATGCGAAAGGCCTTCTACAAGCGCGAAGATGGGCCAAAGATGAGAACGGAGGACGCCGTACCGGAAGAGTATTTACGCATCGATATTGTACTAGACATCAAATACACAAGCTATGTAGAAGTCCGCAGCGAAGAGATCGACAAAGCCCGAATCAAAGAGGTGGACAAGGCGCTCATCAAGTACAAGGGTTTGGGCTACGAAGACGCAGTTTGGGAGAAGGTGCCTACACAAGAAGATGAAGATAGATGGCTAGATTTCGTCACTGCTTACAACGACTGGGTCGCCGGGCGTTATGTAAGATACCCAAAGCAAGGTCCACTGAAAGCGCGTCTCGACAAGGCCCGCAACACGCCTTTCGCCAAATTGGAGAAACAAAAACAACCGGAGAATCTTGTCGGTGGTGAACTGATGAAATATCAGATTGAGGGCTTGAATTGGCTTTACTATCAATGGTACAGCCAAAAGAATGGCATCCTCGCTGATGAAATGGGTTTGGGTAAGACAATTCAGGTAATTGGCTTCATGGCGACACTTGTCCAGGAGCACAACTGCTTCCCCTTTCTAGTCGTGGTTCCCAACTCGACCTGCGCCAACTGGCGACGAGAAATCAAGCAATGGGTACCATCGCTGCGTGTTGTCGCCTACTTCGGCTCATCCCAAGCTCGGGACATGGCATACAAATACGAAATGTATCCCGAAGGAACGAAGGAACTCAGGTGCCATGTTGTAGTCACTTCTTACGAAGCAGCCGCGAATGACAGTTGTCGGAGGATGTTTCGCAGCGTCAACTGGGGAGGACTGATCATCGACGAAGGCCAACGGTTGAAAAACGACAAGAGCCAACTCTACACCGCCCTCACGGCCGTGAAAGCTCCTTTCAGGCTACTACTGACGGGTACACCACTACAGAACAATGCCAGAGAGCTGTTCAATTTGCTGCAATTCTTGGACGAAACTATCAACGCCGCTGAGCTCGAAGAGAAGTACGCCGAGATGACATCAGAAAACATTAAAGAACTGCACGATGAAATCCGTCCCTTCATCCTTCGACGTACAAAAGCTCAAGTATTGACCTTCCTTCCACCGTTAGGTCAGATCATTCTCCCGATATCAATGAGCCACCTGCAAAAGCAACTTTACAAGTCAATCCTATCAAAGAGTCCGGAACTCTTGAAGACTCTCTTTACTTCAGACAAGTCTCTCAAGCAGCAGGAGCGAGCCAACTTGAGCAATATACTCATGCAGCTTCGCAAGTGTCTTTGTCACCCCTTCGTCTACAGTCGCGAGATCGAAGAGCGAACTGACGTAGCTACTGTCTCCCATCGCAACCTGGTCGAGGCCTCCGCTAAACTCAGTCTGCTAGAGGTATTGCTTCCAAAGTTGCAGGAGCGAGGACATCGTGTTCTCATCTTCAGCCAATTTCTCGACATGCTTAGTATGATTGAAGACTTCATGGACGGGATGCAGATGACATATCAACGTCTCGATGGAAATATGGGCTCTTTGGAAAAGCAGAAGCGTATCGATCAATTTAACGCACCCGACTCTCCGCTCTTCGCCTTCCTCCTATCAACTCGAGCTGGCGGTGTAGGCATCAACCTTGCTACTGCTGACACGGTGATTATCATGGATCCCGACTGGAATCCTCATCAAGACTTGCAGGCCATCTCCAGAGCTCATCGTATCGGTCAGAAGAAGAAGGTCCTCTGCTTCCAGCTCATGACAAGGGCTTCTGTCGAAGAGAAGATTATGCAGATGGGCAGGAAGAAGATGGCCCTTGATCACGTCGTTGTTGAGCAGTTAGATGCAGACAATCCTGAAGATCAAGACGTGGAATCGATTCTCAAGTTTGGCGCAGCGGAGCTCTTCAACGATGACAACGCAGATCATGATATTCGATACGACGATGCTTCGGTCGAAAAGTTGATAGACCGGAGTCAGCTTGAGAATACAAAGACAAGCGCGGACGACTCAGCGGAGTCTCAGTTTAGCTTCGCTCGTATATGGGCAAACGATACGGGTACTCTCCAAGAGAACCTCGACAGCGTAGAAGAGGAGGTCGCTCCAGATCCAGGTGTTTGGGATAAGATTTTGAAGGAGCGTCAAGCATTGGCAGCAGCAGAAGCTCTAGCGCGGGCTGAGGCTCATGGCAGGGGACGAAGGGCTCGAATGGTATGTATAATGACCACGTGTTACGCGGATGTATACTGACCGAATCGCAGAACGTTGATTACGCCAACGATGAGCAAGATCAGGCAGCTAACGCCGATGAAGATGTCTTCGAAGATGTTCTTCCCGAGCCTATCAAGAAGTCGGATAAGAGACGGAAGAAAGCCAAGTCAGGTTCTGAAAGCGATACTGACTTCCAAGCTGACACCGAGGACGAGAGCGACCCCGAACTCTATCCTGCTGAGCTCGATGCCGAGAGAGAGCTTGGGAGTGCTGCTCGAAGACCCAGTGCAAACAATATTGCCAGCTCCACGCTATACAAGCAGAATGGCGCAGGTGCGTCCCAAGTTTCCATTCAAACTTCGTCAAGACCTCCTTATGCACCACCGCCACCACCAGTCATTGCTACTATGGCACCTTCGCGTGGACCGCCGTCAAGTGGATCACTGAAGCCACCGAAAGGTGGTGTGAAGGTTACCTTATCGGCAGTCCATTCCAGCAAGAGCTCTTCTCGCCCTGTGCCTCCTGAGCTTGCAGCGTCTGGCAGACTACAAACATCACTACCGAAACCTGACGAACCCTCAGTGAAACCGTTCCGGCGTGTTCATCTCCCAACTCGCTCACCCCTCGACGCCAACTATGGAACACTCAACTATCGCCCGTGTCCAGCGTGCTACAAACAACATCCGCAAGGTGCATGCGAACTGAAAGTCGCCGGCGTCGAACACTGTGGTCTCTGCGGTCTTGCACACTTTGGCCACGGACGCCAGTGTCCACACATCAAATCCGAGACACAGGTCCGCGAGATGCTCGAAACCCTCAAGAACTCTCCTGAGAATAAAGAACTGGTGGACGCTGCGGTCAAATACTTGAGAGGCGTAAAGGGCCATCTCGTGCAGACGAAGAAGAGGGAACGCGAAAAATCGGCGCTGCAGTCAGGTCAGCCTTTACCATCATCCACCGGGCTTGTTAGTGGGCAGCCTCGTCCGAATGGTCCCGGAGCAATAAATGGTTCTGGTGCTTTGCCAGCTGCACGAGGCCCGCCGCGGCGTGAGGTTCCCCAAACATACCAGGGACCCGCTAACGCGGCACCTGGCAGTGTGGGTAGCTTTATTCAAGGACAGCGTGGTTCCGCTACTCCGCAGCAATACACCCAGCAACTGCAAACGCCAGGGCTTGATGATCGTGACGTTGAAAGTGCTCTGAGGGGTTACCTCGGGGGTCCGGCGTCTCACCAGGTGTGATTTGCTTTCTTGATGAACGGACGATTTGCTGCTACGAGGAGAGTATTAAGCTTGGTCCTTTGGTTAGTAGATGCTTTCAAAATGAAATCGAAGCGTGGATGGCTTTTTGCGCTTTGTTTCGATATCGACTTGATGTTACTTCATGCGGGATGGTGGTTTTGAGATAGGTTCCGAAGATCAAGTGAGAGGAGTTTCGTAGGCTAGGTCGTCTCAGTTCGAGACATGAAGCACGATTTACAACATCTAATAAATCGTGTTGGTTTCTTTCATGTATACCTTCAATCAGTGACGCCAAACTCCTAAATCTCGACGATACCCCACAATATACGACGATCAGTCACTAGATGTGTTTTAAATTGCGATCATAGATTACCAAAGGTTCTACATATTGAAGAAACTGCAGGCTATGTATGTGTGAGGTGTCTTTTGTATCACGTTCCAACAGAACTGAGCGCAATGCAATCGTATTTAAGTCTATGAGAATAAAATAGAGACGTAAGAGTAGCCGGAATAGTATGATGAAATTACTTTCACACCAGACTGCAGTTAGGAAACTACGGTCGAATACACACGAGACGCCTTGGAGGTTGAGACCGTCTACACCTTTTACGACGTTTCCTCTAGATCGTACTCGACGCCATAGTCTTCCTCGTACTCTGCTCTTTCCGTCTCTACGTCAGCATCTCCATCGAGATTCTCTTCATTCAACGCTTCCCTTAAACTCTCATGCCAGGCCTCATACTCCTCGCTCATGGTATTGGTATCAGCGCCGGCTCCTAATGCCTTGCCTTTGTGCTGTTCTTTTTTGACCGTCAGCGCGCGTTCCAAAACCCCAGTCCCATGCTTGCCGAAGTCCACATCATCTCCCTTCCACAACCCCTCCGCATCGTTGACCAATCCATTGCGCCAACAAAACGCCAACCACGCTCGCCAGTAGTAGTCTTGTAGCAACACAGATGGGCTTCCGATCACAAACAACGCTTCTTTGGCTCGTGTCAGTGCAACGTTCATCTTTCGCTTCTGGCCCACGATACCCCATCCTCTCTTCGCATCTAACCCCAACTGCTGGTCCCTCGTGCGCGTCGTGCATATAATCACGACACGACTCTCTAGACCCTGGAACGCCTCAAGCGGACCAATGTTGACGTCCCACATCCCGGAGCCGCTACCATATCGAGTTGACCGGATCAACGAACGGAGGATCTTGACTTGCGCGGCGAAAGGAGACATGATGCAAATGTCGGACTGAGCAACATGAGATTCGAAAACCAGTGTTTGAGCAATATCACAGGCGCGGCGTGCTTCGGTGTGATTGTACCAGCCGCTGCCGTCACGCTCAATGTCGTCGGATCCTGTGTGCGGGAAGAATAGGACTGGCCATTTGCGGCCTTTCCATAGAGATGAGTCTTGAAGAGGTGTATTGGGCATCTGTGCTTCAGGTATAAGAGTATCGTTGTAGAAGACGGAGCTTGGGACGCTAAGGATCGCGGGGTGGGAGCGATAGTTGCGTATGAGATTAGCAAACGGAGGGTAATAGATAGGAAGCATAGACTGCTTCAAAACTGGCGGACCTGACGATGGTCTCAGGTTCGAGCGTGATAGTGGATGATCCTTGTACAGTGGTCGGTTGAAGAGGCGTGCGAACAGAGATGTAGAGAATAGAGGGTCTCGAGATGCAGTTCGTGGGCCAAGTTGGTGCTCGTCACCCGCCATCACGAAACGCGGCTGGGGCAGTTGCTCTGGGTACGCTGACGGAGGACAGATGACGCTGATGGCGGGCAAGACATCCATTTCAGTAGCTTGAGCCGCTTCGTCAAGGAGGAGAGCGCCCCAGTGAAGCGATGGCACTAGTTTCTGTTCTTCTGGGTGAAATGCTGAAAACATGCCAGTCTCAATCGTCCATAGATCGTTGTTGGTCAAGCGTGCCTCGGCGAGAATAGATGCATTCCGACATGATGTGACAACCACGTTGAAAGACATGAGCTTTCCGAAGGGTGGTAAGTTGAACACTCCATCTTCCATATGACAATACGCCATGAGCTCTCGTGGCACCTCGTAGTTGGCTCGTCCAGGTCGATTGAGTCTGAAAAGTTGTTTGGAATTGAGGTGTTGCATCAGTCGCAGAGTGAGCGTGTCTGATGCTGCTTCAGATGGAGCGCATATAAGCATGTGCGAGATGTTGGTAGAATCGTCATTGAGCAACTGCATGGCTGTCTCGACAAGTGTTTTTGTCTTGCCTGTACCTGGAGGCCCTGATATCAAGAATGGAAGTGTGCCATATTCGTTGACACACACTGATTTAACAGCATGCGCTTGCTCATAATTGATGGCATGGTCAAAGAATGCCCGGGCCGGGACTCTGCGTAGCTGAGTTTGGAGCATAGCGTGGGCTTCAGTAGGGAAAAGTATTCTGCGAATCCAATCGTTGTGAGGTGTGCACAATCGTTTCTCCAGTACTTCCTTTGTACTGTACTGTACTCCAGTAGAAACTTCATCGAACTTGTCGAGGAACTCATCATCGATCTCCTCACGAGTGGGAACACGATGCAGCGGACAGTTTGCCTGCCTCAGCTCGGCATCGACGCACGCCAAAGCTCTCTGCTGTTCGTACCATGATTGTTTCAATGGAAACACCACATTTACCATGAGAACACTACTTGCTGCATAATGGTATGTCAGTCCTTCTACTTTCACATAGATCGTCTCTTGGGCCCTCTTGACAGCTCTCACAGAAGCGTTGAGCTGGAGTCCGGTCCAGACTTTCTGGTCGATTCGAACGTGTCCTGTGACTTTGTCCGTCACCTGTGATGGTAGTTGCATGAGGTTACCAGCGATATCAACCCATAGCTGACGAATGTGGATAGTATCGCCCATCTCAACGTTCGGGCTGTCTTCTCGCAGTCCTGGTACTGATATCATCCATATTTCCTCATCACCCTGCGCAGACGCGCGCTGGAGTGAGGTCTTGTACAGGGCGTATCCGTCGTTTTCACTTTCTTTTGCAGCACTCTCAAGTTTCCACAATGCGTTGAAGTATTGAAGGTACGTTTGTTCACTCAGCTCCTTCATAGGTGGCGAGGATCCAGTGTTCGATTCGGGCGAAACACTAGGCCTTTCGGAGAGGAAGCCATTGCCTACAAAGTTCTGAATATACGTTTGGTAGTCAATTTGGTATTCTGATGGAGTCAAGACTATGCGCGCTTGTTCCAAGTTGATCGAACGTAACGCATTTGTGACAAACGGCTGAGCGTATACGTCGTATTGCCACCTTGCCTGTTCTGATGACGTTGCGCCACTTGACTCTTGTTTTGAGGGTTCGAGTTTTTTTGTTTTTTCGACAGGCTTTGACATGGGTGTAGTCGTGGAGGTTGTTGCTTTGACTGCTTTCTTAGATGTTGTGGCGGCTATGCAAGACTTCGATATGGGCGCAGGCGTTATGTTTTGTACGGGAATTATTTTCGAGATCGATTTTCTCTTTTTCCCCATAGCTAGTATCTTAGTTGTGTACGGTACGTGTTGTTGCCAAGTCGTGGTATGAATATAATAGTTATGGTTGCCTATGGCTGTTGAGAGGTCAAGTTGAAGGTGGAGGTATCGGATAGGCGGCCTTACCGCCCTAGAAACAGGCTTAAAAGCTGTGCCAAGCTGTGCTCTGTACTTCACTCCTCTTTGTTTGAGAAGTCATATTCACTGATCAAAACGTGGGTAGTATTGTTCTGAGAATATGGACGGTTGGAATAGATAGAAACTCAGTTCCCGATTGGCCTTCAGGGCAACGTTGTTGGAATGGTCGTTGCTTACACAGGCTGTATCATTAGATGACAGTAGGCGACAGTACGGATATCTATTAGCGACAACGATTCGGAAGGCCACCCCAATCAGTCTCCGCCTTTTTTCCAAAAAAACTTGAGAATCGACCCTACGAGGCATTGAAGAATATGAGAACAGTTCGCATGGACAATCGATCATAGTCTCAATGGAAGCCTTGTCAAGACGTTATAGCGCTAAACACTCCAGAAATCATTTTGAGGGTAAAGTCTGCATGTTGGGAGTGGAGTCAAGTTATGCATTAATTCGTTCTTCGGTTTCTCAGCCGCGGTCATCCAAACAATCCCAAGAAACCCCATAGCCCTACACCACAGAGAACGGGTATCGTCAGGTTATCATCCCATCCAAAAATATCAAGTGCTTCACTTGCGCTCGCGACCAAGCCCGCCCACAGCGATACAAGGCCCAGTGCTGTATACCCACCAACAGACGCCTGTGCAACAGACAACCCCAACACGTCCCTCGCCGACGAGGGCAGGGTAAGAACACCTTGAAACGCAAACGCGTTCTCAGCAGAGTTGTAGTTATTGAACATGGGACCCAAAATACCCCACCACACGGCTGCCGTAGCAATGCCCGTGATGCACGCCGCGATACTCCCAGCCAGGCTTTTCCCGTTGCGCACCTTGGGGGTCAAATGTCCCCAGAGACGGCCAAAAGTACTGGCGGCCGTGTCACACCAACTCAGCAACAATACACTCATGACACTGACATCCTTAGGACAGAAGCGCATGACAATCCAGGCGCCGAGGAGATAGGAGATTACACCGTTGTAGCCGTCGACTTCGGACTCGCGCATCAAGGCGCCCAGACAACGGATGTAAAAGCGATTTATTTGCCAGTAGCGGTGGCGCAGCACGTCGGTAAGGGCGATGGGGAGGAGGAGGGTGAGGAGCACGGGGTGGATGGCCCATGTCTGCACGCCGTTGGTGTAGAGGGCGAGGGCGAGGAAGCCGATGCTCACGTGGAGGATTTTGCGGGGGATTTCATGGCGGTGGATCTGCTGTCGGGTTAGCGCTGTGTGTGCGGGCTCACGTGTATGGGCAACACACGAAGGACCGCCACCGCTGGTGGATGGGGATCAGGCCCAGCGGACTCGGACTCCTGCTCATCTCACGCCAGTAGTTCTTGTTGGCAGCCGCGGGGCTCAGGTGGTTGATGGTCTGCCTCTTGCCCGTCAGCCCACTCAGTCGCCTCGGCCGCCCCACGCCGCCATCCAGCACCGTCCGCGCGCGCGCCCGCTTCTCCGGATCCGAGCCGCCCGAATCCTCGTCTACGGGCGCCGGTGAGCGGGCGCTGGCGGCGCGCGTCGAGGAGCGTGTCACGGGGCCAAAGTAGCCGTCTCTTGCGCTCTCCGACGGCGTCGATACGGGCGAGGGCGAGATGACGTGTGGGGTGTGGGGGATCTGGCGGCGCTTCGTGGGAGCCATGGTGGGGAAGGTGGGGAGCGGAGAGGTGCGGATGAGGCCAGATAGCGTCGAGCGAGCCCTGTCCGCGAACCAGGCAATGCTGGTGGCGAGGCAGGACGGCCGTGTGTGGGCGTCGTCGGCAGCTGTGTCGGTATCGCGCGCGTCAGCGGGACAGGAGGGATTCACGGCAGAGACAGCCAGCGTCGACGCGCATCCGTCCGGGCAGCGCGCATCATCTGGAGGGAGAGGGGATGCCACAATGTGCAGGCGACAGCGGCCAGCTTAAATACGCCTTGATGAGATCAGATTCACATGTGAAGACGCTGCGGCGCCGAACTTTGCAGAGTCTGGTGAAACGAATGGTCGTGTGCTATGCCAGGACCAGAGTGGAATAGGCAGACGCTTACTCTTCGTCGACCCGCAGACCAAGGACGGAGATCTAGTTCGAAGGTGTATGTATGACGCATGCCACGTGACTCGGCTGCACCTTCCGCCCTCCGCATCGCCTTGCACTGCCACATGCGCCACATCAACTTTTTTTCCGTCCAGCAACCCGGACCCATCACGCCTCAGGACGATATTCACACTCCACAAGCCTGCACGACAAGGACTCCGCGCGCATGGCTCCACAGACCAAAGTCGATCGCTCGTTCAGCGCGTTGACGCCGGCGCTGTCGGAATGGATCGTCGACGCCGTCGACGCCATGGGCTTCGTCAAGACTACGCCAGTCCAGCATGCTGCCATCCCATTGTTCATGAAAAACTCCGATGTCGTGGTTGAGGCTGTCACGGGAAGCGGAAAGACTTTAGCGTGAGTGTTCGCCCTGCCAAACTGATTTCAGTCGTTACTCACATTTTACAGGTTTCTGATACCCATTGTAGAGCGGCTGTTGCGACTCGACGCTCCCCTAAAGAAGCATCACGTGGGCGCAATCATCATTTCACCAACCAGGGAACTGGCCACTCAGATACATACGGTCCTTGCCTCGCTCCTCAAGTTCCACGCCCCTTCGGCAGCCCTACTTCAGCCGGATGATGAAGATTCTGACATGGAAGACGTCGATGCCCCCCCGAAGCCAACCTTCCCTCCGGGAACTCTCAAAGTGGTACCTCAGCTCCTCCTTGGTGGATCCATCACTCCAGCTCAGGACCTCAGCGTCTTCCTCAAAAGGTCGGCCAACATCCTGATTGGCACGCCTGGGAGACTCCTCCAATTACTCACGTCTCCCCACGTCCATTGCCCACAATCTTCTTTCGATGCTCTCGTGTTGGACGAAGCGGATCGTCTGTTGGATCTCGGCTTCAAGGAAGATCTGCAAAGAATTCTCTCCCGCTTGCCTAAGCAACGACGAACGGGCCTGTTCAGCGCCAGTGTGAGCGAGGCCGTCGACCAGCTCATCCGGGTGGGTCTGCGCAACCCTGTCCGCATTGCTGTCAAGGTCAAGACAAGAGCAGCGTCCAACGGCAACACGGGAGAAGAAGGCAAGATTGAAGACAAGCGAACACCAGCTAGTTTGCAGATGTCATACCTTGTTACACCTCCCTCGCACAAAATACCGGCTATTAGACAAATTTTGTCCTCTCTAGAACCACAGCCCCAGAAAACCATCTTTTATCTTGCGACATGTTTTGCCGTGGACTACTTCCAGCACATCTTGCCTGAGGTCTTGGACGGGTATGCTGTTGTCCCGCTACATGGAAAGCATCCAGACAAAGTCCGACGTAAGAATTTCAACAAGTTTGTCGACAGTGTCACACCATCCATCCTCCTCACCACCGACGTTGCCGCGCGCGGTCTCGACATACCGTCCGTTGATCTAGTCTTACAGCTAGACCCACCAAGCGACCCAAAAACTTTCATTCACCGTTGCGGTCGTGCCGGGCGAGCAGGTCGTAAAGGGTTAGCCGTCACGTTTCTCAATCCAGGCCCCGAAGAAGACTATATCGAGTTTCTGCGCGTACGACAAACTCCCATTACACCTTTATCATCTCCCGATTGCATCATTACACCCGAGGATGCCGAGGCAGTTTCCAAGAAGATAAGATGCTTGGTGGCAACAGACAGAGCTATCTACGACAAAGCGCAACGTGGCTTCGTCTCCTGGGTCCGCGCATACAGCAAACACACGGCATCCTCCATATTCCGGGTCCCGGACCTTCCGTGGTCGGAGTTGGGTCACGCATGGGGTCTCCTGCGTTTGCCACGCATGCCCGAGCTCAAGACTTGGGACGGCGATAAGAGCCTCGGTGTGGCGATGGATTTTGATACTTTTGCGTACAAAGACAAAGTACGTGAGAAGCAGCGCCTAGCTGAGCTAGAAACGCCCGAGGCGAGAAAAAAGCATGTCAAGGAAAAGCCGAGGGAGGAATCGGCGTGGACGGAAAAGAAGGGACTGAAGGCTTACAAGGATGTGAGGAGGGAGAAGAAGGTGGCGAAACGTGAACATGATCGTGTGGCCAAGTTGACAGACGAAGAGCGTAGAGAGGAGGAGAAGCTGCAGGGTATGATTGAGCAGATGCGGAAGAGTGTTGCTGCCAAGGAAAAGCAGGACATGGAAGACGAGTTTGAGGGATTTAGCGACTAAGTCAATACCTTTAATGCCATGTAAGATGAGGTGTCTGTTCAACACGCGCGCAGATGCATGCGTCTCTGGTCCCGAATGGCAATGGCCTGAAAAACGAAGGCAGCTGGGGTGCCAGCGGCAGCGCGTCCGTAGGCGTTCCGGCGTACGGCTGGATCGTGCGACACATGCAAATTTGAGACGTGGACCTCAGCCTTTGAGCAGTTTCTAGATGAAGGCGTCTGCGGGCGTAGTGATCACGTTTGTGCAGGACATGAAGTCGGCTCTGGAGAAATGGAAGCGAAACGTGTTTGTAGCTGTCCGTATCTGGTGTCCTCTGTATGCAGACGTCGGCCGTGTAGGGCGTTCGGAACAGTACGTCTTCTCGCTGGAGTCATGGCAGGTCTGCGCGTGATGAAGTAGCGTTTGCTTTGGAGAAGGCGGCGATGCGACAGTTTGCGGAAGTGGAAGGGGACAGGCCCAAAGCGATGTCCGCGGGCTGGGCGTGTACCGCCACCTCCTCCAAAGCGATTGGAAGAAGCTCACGACGGATACTTGCGTCTGCTCTTGACTTTTTGGACCACGCCGCTCAGTCCCAGCTGCATGTTGCAACGCTTCTGGCCGCTGCCACTTTGCTTGTTTGGACTCGTCGCAGAAGGCAGGTCGTTTGCCGTTTGCCCGCAAGCTGCTATATTGCCGTAGCGCCCCGCCATTGCTCCTCGTCTGACGTCGACCCGCGCCTGAGGGCCCAGCACCTCTCTGTGCACGTTGACCATATACCGGCCTACGCACACACGCGACTAGGAAATGGCTTCATCGTCTGCGGCGGCCGGCCTGTTGGCTCGCCAGCTCAAGCAAATGCAAAACGACCGCAGCATATCGGGCATCAGCTGCGGCTTGGTGGACAGTAATGTGTTTGAGTGGGAGGTGATGCTGATGATTGACGACGACACCAAGTTCTACGGAGGTATATGCACACGGAGATGCCCGAAAGCTGACCAGCACTGACGGCTTTCATAGGAGGCTTCTTCCGAGCGCGCCTCACGTTCCCTAGGGAATACCCACTTATGCCGCCCAAGATGCGCTTCGAGACACCCATCTTCCACCCAAACAGTGAGCTCCTGCCGTATGCACACGCCGCACGACCTGCTGACAAACGGACAGTCTACCAGAACGGCGAGGTCTGCATCTCCATCCTACACCCACCCGAGGAAGACAAGTACGGCTACGAGTCGGCGGCCGAACGCTGGTCACCTGTCCAGACACCCGAGACCATCCTGCTCTCCGTCATCTCTATGCTGTCCAGCCCAAACGACGAGTCACCCGCGAATGTCGAGGCAGCCTCGCTATGGCGCGACAACACGCCCGAGTTCAAGAAACGAGTGCGAAAGTGCGTACGTGATAGTTTGGAGTTTGAATAAACAGAACAGGCACGATACCAGACTGAGGCGCGAACAAACATGCATAAAGTGGTTTTTCATATCTGGAGTTTGACACTTGAGCGGGCATGGAGGGAACTTTGGGCATTTCGAGCAGACATACAATGGACATGTTTAGCATGTCTCTTGACCGCTTTGGCGTGATGGTGTGGTCAATCAATCACAGCGGTTACACAAAAGGACGTGCGTACTTCACCATGAGTTCATGTAGTCCTTGCCGGATACTAGATTGATGAGATGAATCAAAAGAAGCAACCTGTCTGGACGCCATGTCGTTGACAAGTAGGCTCGAACGGCGTGTCTTGCAGATACACACTGCCGTCTCGTATGAACTTTGGTGCCAGAAAGTAGAATTCAATCAGAAGAGTCAACTCCGTCGAGGCAACTCGAACGAATTCCGATGCACGAGCACAATCGATACGAGTTTAGAGTCGCAAACAGCTTCGAATAATGAAAATTTGATTAAGCGTGTAGATGGGTCGAGACGATAGCCCACTCTAACAACGAACACAAAGGTAACTACAGACTCATACAGCAAAGCTTATCTGAACCTCCATCTCTTACACACAGTCCTCCTCACGTCGTCCAGGATTTCCTTTCTCAAGCACCCGTGCAAAGCAATGCATCCGCACCAACAGGAAGAATGCAGCACTGTGCACTCGTGCCGGACTCGGCGCACAGAGCCTCAAATTCCGCGGTCGTGGCGACGTCGCCGGCTATCATTCATCAGTGGCTGAAGGTAGTACAGAAAGAGATGTGAAGAGAGAGAGGGACAAAGTCTTACCGCTTTCGCAATCCAAGTTTGCAGCACCCAGGACATCAAGTTGGCAGCAGGTGGGCGTGGCGATGCCACCGCAGACGCTGCTTTGACGCTTGGAAAGCGTCGCAGGGTGTCGCCTGGTGACGGCTACAGCGGAGGTAACGGAGAGCAGAGTAGCGAGGGCGAGGGTGAACTTCATCTTGATTATTGGTGGTGGAGGATGAAGTTGACGAGTATTTTGATATTGAAGAACCGGCTTGAGATCGATATATTGGGATGCTGAGCTTGATGATGAGACACTCAAACAGGTATTGCAGGCATATTTATACATGTCGGCGGTCCCTTCAAACAATGACTTGGTCGTTTTCTAATGATATGATTCCACGCTCCCATTCACTGTCCTACCGGCCCGTCTACTGATCGTCAATCAAAACTATACAAAAGTCCCACACCCTCTGTCAGTATTCACAAGCACATCCTCCATCTTGCCAATTATCCGTTCGTTCCTATCTCGGTGATCACAGCATCTCCGAGCTGCCGTCACTGCCCCTAGATACATCTACGCACATGATCTGCACATGGTAACATACGGATCAGCGACCCCTTTTCATTTCCAGTTCAAAATACAGTAGTGATGTGTTGAGCCAAGCTACCTGTTCAAGCACAAGCAACCCAAAGAGGAGAAATGCATGTGGAGATGGATCGGCACCCGGATAGGTACGACTAGTCGGTTGCTGATCCGATAAGTCTCCCCACAACCTTTACGAGAGAGCCTGTCCACGGTCTTGGTACATGGGATGAAGGATCATCTGATAAGACTGGGGTAACGCTAAATCGCTGTGTCACTGTCTTTGGGGGTGATTATGTTTATCCCAATTCTAATTTTGATATGAGAGTAAATTTTGAGGACGGTGACAACTTGGAGGGCTGAGGCGCTTGTCCGTTTCTGTGTCAGTGTCTGCATTGCGTTGGTTTTCGGTCAGGTTGTGCGGTCTGTCACCTTATGTTCGGGCAGGGTACATGGTCTTTGGTTACTCCTTGAAGTGATTGTGCTTTATGAAATAGCGAGTATCCATCAACACCATAGCACATAGCGCCATTTTATTAGAGATGACACTACCTGTGAGTTCGTAGGGTTTACTCATAGCGTGGTAGCCTGCTCAAGCACAAAGAGCAGTATCCGGAAAACCTCAGCGATCCTGCAGATGTAAAAATCTTGAATAACATGACTATCCAAGGTCTCGACCACCCATATTGTCTCCGAATTCTGGGGATATGGACGTCACAGAAACACGAGATTCCACCAATAGAGTATAGGAGCATCTATCGTCGCGACACCCCCACACTGCAATCGTCGATTGATCTTGCGTCGAGCTACGAGATATGCGGGTGCTGCAGTATTCGATAATGGCAAGCCGGACAGCGAAGAGGTCTAGTTCATGTCGTTGCGACAAATCAAACAAGCTTGTTACCTCGAGAAGACATTGCATGAGAGCACCGGGAACTCTTCATCATAGAGTTAGTGAAGATACGGCATATCCCAAGTTTATCAGTCAAGAGCAAGGTTCCTAAAGACTGTCGAACGCGAGAAAAGACTATTGCTATTACGCGATTATATATACTCAATATTGCTTCTCCAATTCTATCCCATATCACGTCTTGACACTCCACAGACATCACCCTCTCCTCCGCGTACTTGTCCGACTCCGAACCTCACTTTGCTGAACCTCCAAATGCGTCCCGTTCCTGCTCTGCTCCAACTTGATTGCTCCGTCATCTGAGTCAGGGTACTCATCAGTATCAGTCCCTGTAGCGCCAGGGGTCGAAACATGAGTGCCCTCGATGAGTACTTTCTCGTGCTCAGGGACGGGTACAGAGATCTTGAGGTCGTGCTCAGGTCTGCGTGTACCGAATGGTGGATCAAATCGCGAGCGTAGTGTCTCGATCATCTTGCCGAACCAGAACCAATTCAAGGTATTAAGCGTGATGTTACTCGCGAGATAGGCGCCCGCGAGCCACAGTGGGACTGTCTGGCCTTCTGCGAAACGCATCATGTCAGTTTTGAGAGCGGCACTAGTCGCTGTTGTGGTGTTGAGTTTGCCGACGTCGGGGTCGAAGAGTGTGATTGTGCCAGCTTTGTAGGCTTGGAACACGTCGCTGAAGACACAAACGGATTGGTATGAGCCCCAGACGATGCGGCAGGAGAAGAAGGTGATCAGGAGGGCGATGCCGTTGAGGAACTGGATGGTCGAGCCCGTCTTGTTGAGCTTGTCGCAGAACCAGTGGATGTTGAGAAAGGGCGAGGAGAGCTCGTAGAGGATGAAGCTGGAGGCATAGAAGTTTACAAAAGGGCGCTACACACAAATTTAGCACATATATCTAGAGCCTAGGAGGAAGGGGATTCGACTTACAAAGCCCAGCCCGAAGACGCACAGCGCGGAAATGGCATGGAGCAACATGCCTATGCCAAAGATCTGCACGTTCTGCAGCGTAATAACCAAGTCCCACAGGAAATAGCCTCCGGCAAAGGCTTGAATCAAGCCAGATGCTCCTGTGTATCCGTACACGCGCTCCTGCGCATCCATTCCGAATCGTTCGTCATCCGCGTACATGACCCATAGCGCCAAAGCGCAAATGACGACGCTCTGCACGAACGACACGACGTGCACGTCCCAGTTCAGCTTTGTGCGCGCATTGAAGGCCGGATATATCCGGGGGAAGAAATAGCGCGAGAGGGCGGGCGAGATGTACTTGTTGGTGACATGGTAGAAGCTATAGGCCAGCACAAGCTCGTGAAAGTGCAGCGGCAGCGTCTGGAGAGAGAGGAAGTCGGCAACAGGCTGAATATATGGCAGCAGGGCTTCTGGCGGCGCCAGTACGAACGGGTCGTGCATTGTGGTGGGGGTTGATGGCGACGTGCGGAGGTGTGATGTAAGGGAGAAGTTAGGGTCGTATACGGCAAGCTGCAACAGCCGATTTCAAGGAACGGGATGGCAGCGACTGGGAAGACGAGTCCTTATAAAGTCAGACGAAAGACCACCGCCGCGACGCACGATGATGGGCTTTGTGCATCAAGCCACCTCGAAGATGCCTGACAAAGGTGCGCATGTGGCCATGCGGCGCGATGCGGTCGGCCAAGAAGCCGTCTTCGTCTAGCCTCATGCTGCGCCCAAGATGCATGTGACGTTGGCGATGTGGACGCTTGCGGCTCTTCTTGCGACTTCGACAGCCCCAAGACCGCGTCATTTGTAGAGCTGGTACGTGATGTCTCATGATTTGCGTCACCGCATGAGACGTATTGCTTTGAAAGTTGGCAGATAAATCATATGTATTCAAGAAGCAACAAAGACTCTCAACTACCGTAGCAAAACACACGCTATATCCGCTTGTTCATTTCTACCCCTGCAGATCAGACGAAACAAAAAACGAAGAATGGGTATCATAAATCTCAATCACACCAAATACGCCATGTTCAAAACACGTCAAGCCTGACGTTGTGCTTGAACCAGCAACTCCTGCACATATCGTCCCTTAGCTTCTCAGCATATGCTTCAAGAAACAACGCCCCAACATGTGATGTCCGCTCAATTCTGTCGAGTAGGGAATAAAAATCTTGCAACGTCTTGTAGCTTGTTATGCGCTTGTTGGGATCGCCTGTTGATGGGCTTGATGCACTCCGTTGGGGGCCTGACTCCTCCCCACTCAGCGCCATCTGCATATCAAGTTGCGTGCCAATCCACAGTGCCCATGTCGTCTCATTGATATCCTCAGTCATGAATATGAGCTTCAGAGCCAACATCATCTCATGCTCATTCTGATATGGGTAGAACTTGCTGTTGCTACTGTGCTTGCCTCCTGGGATGTGTTCTGGATCCTCAACAAATGGGTCTAGAATGCCCACCTCGTAGTTGACGGCCCAGTTGAGCTCTTCATTCATATCCTTGTCATGGGTTGATATTCGTCCTTCGTCCCATGTAAGACGCTCGGCGATTAGAAACACTTTGCGCATATGCTGTGTTACTTTTCGTTCCATTTTGCAGACAGGGCAGCGGAATGGCAGAGATGGCTGTGTGTCTGGGCGGTGGTGGAGCTTGTGCCAGGAGTCGTATGGCAGGAGACCAAGAGGATAGGGTACCCAGTGGAAGTCCTGACATAACTTGCTATCAGGGTGCGGTCCATGTAACACGGAAGGCATGCATATAGTTGGCTTGGGCGCATCGGTGCGAGCTTGTAGGCGTGTGGAACGCGATGATGCCGGAGTTGGTTTGTAAGGTGAGTGATATTGTGGTTCTCCGGCAGGTATCAGTACTGGTTTCGCTTGTCGCATGTTGGAGGGATGTTTGCCTGTAGGTGCAAGGTCCCGTCGAGGTCTGGGCGAAATTGCCCTTCGAGGTTGTAAATTTCTCAAGGGCGGCTTCGATTGACTGCTGATGCTCGTCCTTCCACCATGAGCTTGCACCGGTGGTTCTAGACTGCCCTTCCGTCCAGATTCTGCTATCCGCTTTCGCGGATTGGAAGGCATGTTATTTAAATAGCTCCACAAGTCTTTTTGCGTGGCTCACAGGACAACATAGAGCAGCGCTTTGCAGTACAGAACTTTTAGACTAAGAATAGGGATAACGTGCAACACATGAGTTTATATCACATGGCACATGGATGGTGGAGTGAAAGCGACGCGCCTGTGAAAGATTGAGACGCGCCCGTGGGGTAACGCAGTCTTGGCTTTACCGAAAGCTCCGAAGTTGCGCACCATCCTCGTCGCTCTTTCTTCAGATGGCGCCACGATGAATGCTCTCAAAAGGTCTTTTGTAGACTGTTCAACCCGCCAAACGCAACTGCTTCGATACAAGCAAGCTTCGCTTCGAACATGTTGCTTAGCACGCCGCAATTATACCAGACCCGCATTCGCGCCAAAGCCATCGATCGACATCAAGCATATTCGACAGAATCCAGGCTTGTACGAGCAAAATTGCATAGATCGTAATTATGCAGCGCATAGCAAGGCATCATGGAGGATCATTGAGCTCCACGAAGAGTGGCTTGCTCTTCAGCAAAGCGCACGCGGACTACGGGAACGAAACAACCTCATTCGAGGGAGGTTGGCCAAAACGGCAGCCCACATGAAGGATGCGGAGGGGAAGCCACCAGCCCCCCAAAACAAGGGGTCGTTGATCAACGAGGCCAAGGCATTGAAGGCAGAGCTCAGTGCCATCGAGGCAAAAGAGACACAGTTGCAAGATGAAATAGAGAACCTAGCGCAAGACCTACCAAATCTGAGCAGCACGCACACACCGGTTGGCCTTGAGCCCGAGGTGGTCGAATACATCCACAAGCATCCCGAGTCCACATCGGGTGAACCAAATCGAGTCTGGAAATCACATGTAGATATTGGTCAAGAACTAGGAATACTAGACTTTTCTGGCTCGGCGCAAACTTCGGGCTGGGGATGGTATTTTCTCGTTGGCAACGGTGCAATGCTGGAACAGGCGCTCGTACAGTACGCTTTGAGTGTAGCCAGGAAAAAAGGTTGGCTTGCAGTGGCGCCTCCTTCGTTGGTGTACTCACATATTGCATCGGCATGTGGCTTTCAGCCGAGAGATCAAAACGGAGAGCAGCAGATCTACGCGCTCGAGCAGGCGGAAAAGGACAAGACTAAGCCTCAGTTGGTTCTTGCTGGAACGGCAGAAATACCTTTGGCGGGCATGAAAGCGAACCAGACTCTGGAGGACATCAACCTGCCACTCAAGACGGTCGGCGTGAGCAGGTGCTATCGGGCTGAAGCCGGGGCTCGAGGTGCCAACACCAAGGGTCTGTACCGAGTACACGAATTCACAAAGGTGGAGATGTTTGCATGGACACTGCCAGACAGTGTTGAAGAGGACCATTTCAGCTCAACAGACGCTTCTAGCTCGGAGGCTGTCTTTACGGAGATGTTGTCGATACAGAAGGAGATTTTAGAAGCTCTAGGTCTGCACTGCCGCATCTTAGAGATGCCTACGACAGATCTTGGTGCGAGTGCGACGAGAAAACGCGATATCGAGGCCTTCTTCCCGTCACGACGAGGCAAAGACGAGGGATGGGGCGAGGTGACCTCGACGTCGATGTGCACAGACTACCAGAGCCGACGGTTGCACACACGTGTTCGTCTGGAAGGGCGTAAACTGGAGTTTCCTTACACCGTTAATGGCACCGCGCTCGCCGTGCCAAGGGTAGTGGCAGCGATCTTGGAGAACCACTGGAACGAGCAGGATTCTTCTGTCACGATACCGGAGGTGTTGCGGCCGTTCATGGGCGGCCAGGCGAAGATTGAAAAGGCCTAGCGTCGGGACGGACTGCGCGACAGGCTAAGGATGGAAGTTGCTGTATCATAAGTTCTGTATCATCAGTGTTGCGTCATTGTAGACTATTTAGTTGAAGGCATGGTTGGATTTTCCAGTCGGAGCGTCTTGCTTCTTGTGACTCTAACGGCGCGATGGCTGGGTGGCCCACATTCGTCACGACCCGTATCTCCCCCTGCGTCTTCAGCTGGTGGTGTCGCTTTCGCCATCGAGGCTGGTGCAGATCCTGAGCGGGCCAACAGGGGCGATTGGTGCACAGCCATGGGCCGAGTGCGAGTGCATGGGACCAGCGGCGGGCCATGTGAGGGCCCGCCACAGGCCCTCTGCTTTTTGGTGCTTACCAAAGTATGTTGAAACGACATCTGCTCAACATGCCGATGCCATGTCTGCTAGCCTGACCCACGGGAACGCGCCATCGTGGAGGTGGGGTGTGGTTTGAAACAGCGGGCCATGCCCATGCCCATGCCCACGCCCAGGCTCACCTGCGCATCGACAGCATCGCAACCACCTGCACTCGAGCTGCATTGTTCGGTGCGACAAACAAGCTAACGCGCAGCCACGCTGTGTTCTGCTGCGCACTCGTCCCCGCCATCGGGGTGCACCGCTTGCTTGTCCAGCCGGCCAGCCATCCACGGTCCGTTGCCAACGACGACGCTCCCAACACGGGCTCGAGTCACGTAAACAGCGACCACACGGCAGCGTCAACCGCATCGCCAGCATCGCCAGCAAGAGCGCGAACAGCCACAGCCGCCGCCTGATCCATCGTCCGAGCCACCGCCATATCCATAGCCAGAGTCGCAGCGCATGGTTTCCTACCCCGACTCGCAGGGCGCCGAGCGCTCGCTGGCCATCCGCCGCCCGCCGTCCGTCGCCGGGTCGCAGTCGTCGTCGCGCACGTCGACGGTGCGCAGACACCGCACCCACCGCTCGCACTTTGGGGGGACCTCGCTGCAGCCGCAGAATGAGTTCCCCGTCTTCACGCACACGGGCGACATGGACATCGCCATCAGCAACGGGCGCAAGGAGCAGCGCTACCTGCTGCACAAGCTCATCCTCACCCAGTGCTCGGGCTTCTTCGAGGCCGGCACGAGCGACGAGTGGGCCACGGCCGGCGACAGCCCCAGCGCTGCCCCCAACCCAAACCCGGCCGCCCTTGCGCGCGTGCCGCCGGCTGCGCGCCAGGAGAAGAAGAAGTGGAGGTACGAGCTGGACTGGGGCAAGGGCGACCACGATGTGCCCATGCTGGTGCAGAAAAAGGCCCAGCCCTCCATCTTTGGCGACGACACGACATGTCCTGCCCAGCCGCCGCCCGCGCGCAACAAGCCGCCCGCCCCGCAGGCAGGCTTCTTCCGCACAATGGCAAACTTCTCCACCGTCCACGTCCCTACCGCCGCCGCCACCACGGCCACCACGCCGACCTCGCCCATCGATCCCGACGACGACACGTTCCGCGATTACGACAACCTCTTCCGCATCTTCTACAACTACGCGCCCACCCTCGACGTCGTCAACATTGCGAATGCATACGTCGAGTGCAAGTCGCTCCTCCAGCTGGCCGACATGTACGACGCCGTCCAGGTCATCGGGCCCCGCGTAGACCACCACCTGCTGCGCTTCCAGGGCCGTCTCTGGAAGCAAATCGCAAAATACCCGCCCAGCTACCTCAAGCTCGGCTACATGGCTCGCAGCAAGGCCATCTTCGCGGAGGCCATGGTGCACGTCGTCGGACAGTGGCCCTCGGGCCTGAACCAACTGCGCGGCCAGATCGCCGATTCCGTCATCGAGCTGATAGAGGACAAAGTCGATGAGGTGGAGGAGCTCAAGGCCAAAATTGAGGTCAAGCTGTTCCGCCTGAGTCTCACCACAAGTCGCGGCGAGCGCGTCAGTCCGTCGAGTAATTGGTTGGATTGGCTTGCAGTGTCCTTGTTTCGACAGTGGCTCGCAGAGAACACGACACCCCCGCCAGCGCCCATCCTCAAATCGCCCCGTGCTCCGTCTCGCAATGCCAACGAGTCGGCACCTGCTCCGCCAGCCTTCAATACCGGTCGTGTGTTCCGCCTCCTCGGCCAGGGTGGCTCGTCGTATTTAAACCACGACGAGTGTAAACGCTTCCTACGCCTTTCCCAAGACCACTACAATCGTGAAAACCTAAAGAAGTTCGAGAGAAGGGTCGAGGAGATCAAGAACAAGGCGAAGGATGCTGTCAAGCCGCTGATGCGCAATTTCCTCGAACTGGATCTCAGAGAGGGGGGGTTGCCGTATTTGACGTGTGCCAGGATTGACGACCAGGATTTTCCTTGGGAAGAATGAGGATGCTGGAGGATTGGGTAGGCATGGCGGACGGGAAATGTTGTATGCGCGCTTGACCGGCGCATACCAGGAGACGTTGGATTGAATGTGGCGGTACGATTTTTGCGAGATTTTCTTTTGGCGCTCGATACCCTTGGACGACGGACTGCATTTGTCTTGTTAAGTTTGCATGTTGATATTTCGTTGTTTTTGAACTGGACGATTTCATGAGCGACGAGTAGGGATGTATGATGAATAGTGTGAAGTAATGGTAGGTACGCTGGCCGTGCTGGGATGAGTGAGACGATCGACGCATTATTCAAATCAACTCTCATTATAATTGCAGTCAACCACTGTGAAGTTTATAAATCTCTCAATGGCATGGGCTAGTGACATGAAGGCGAGTTTGGGGGTGGGAGATAGAGGATGTATGTATTGGGAGAAGACCAAGGATGTTGTGTTCATGATAGTAGCCAAACTGAGGGGAATTAGACAAATATTACGAGGAAGCACCAAGTCCAACCGTTGATATGAGTTGAAAGGTTCGCCACCAAGGAGTTTAGCCTTTCGCATCGTGAAAACACGTGCAGGCGATGACTCAGTCGATGACCACCAGTGAAGTAGAACGCTAGTGTCACCAACCAACTGACAAGAATGCACAAACTCTTCCCCATATCACTGCACTTCTTTCACAATCACCGCCTGTTTCAAACCTTGACTTTTAGTTCCAATCCCCTCCTAGCTCAGACAATCCCAAGAATGGAGCTGCATACTACATCATATCCCGTGGACAAACGATTACCACTAGCAGAGCGCATGAAGCAATACGAATCCTCTTTCGACTTCACACTACCAGTCAACTCACCAGTCCTACTTCGCCTTGACGGCCACGGCTTCTCGCGCTTCACAAGCCACTTCTGCCGCCCCTTCGACCAGCGCATACATGATGCCATGATATCCACATGCGTTGATCTACTCCACTTCTTCCCGCAGGCAACGGTAGCATACACACAGTCCGACGAGATCACACTAGTATTTCCATTCGGCGTTCAAAGCTTCAATAAGAGAGTGCAGAAGTTGTCTAGTCTCTCGGCCAGTCTTTGTTCAGTCCGCTTCAACGCTCATCTAACGGCTTTCCTGGGCGCAAATCCAGAGCCAAAAGTCAAGGAGTCGGCGTATGAGAAACTCGGAACAGCCTGTTTTGACGCGCGGTTCTTTGCTGTGCCGTCTGCTGAGGAAGCGCTGAATTGTCTGCTGTGGAGGTGTCGTAATGATGCAGTGAGGAATGCGGTTGGGGCGTTCGCAAGGACCATGTTTTCGACGAAAGAGATGCATGGTAAGAAAACGACGGAACTGCTCGAGATGATGGAGCGAGAGAAAGGGGTCAAGTTTGAAGAGAGTGTTCCTAAATGGGCGGTGGAGGGGTGTTTGATGAAACGGGAGCAGTTCGAGCATGAGGGCGTCAATTTGAAGACGGGAGAAACGGAAAAGACGTTTAGGACTCGGACGAGGGTTGAGGAGCGAGGTGTGAGGATCTTCTCGGAGGAGAATTTGAGACTTGTCACTGAGAAGTATTGGCCATAGGCGTAAGGTTGTTGCATGGGTTTGTGGTGGGTAAGTTAAAGAAGATAAGCGTTGCGATATTTTCAGTTGCTCTAAGCCGCCTAAATGCTGACGAACAACAAAGAATCACTAACTTGAGAAACAACACGCAAGCAGTGACGACGTAATAAGACTTCGAAGGTCTCCATATTGCTTCCCAGATCGTAGAAGTATTGAGCGGTCGTTGGTTGATACGGCCCCCTCTTGGTCAACTGTGGAAGCGGGAAACAAGCTACAAACTACAAACCACACTGATAAAATCTAAAAAAGTGCACGCAAGGCGTAAAACGCTAGGAATCTAGGCAGAAGAATCTCGTCCCGACCTTGGATGCAGTTGTCCAGCTGTCGCGTGATTTTGCTGCACCTTGGTTCCTGGTATTTCGATCAACCAAGAGCCACGTCTTGGCCAGAACAACAAGCCTTTACTAGTTGCTAACTACCGAGCGCCACATCGTGCCTGGACGCGCAGTGTCGCAGGTGCCTAGGCTTAGAAGTGATGCACGATTGGGATATTTCGCCCTGTCCTGCTAGCGTCGTTCGGGATAGATAGCTAGTGCATACGGCATCTCTAGCGTCGTGATGAGAGCCGGAAATAGCTGAGGGGTGGGGGCCAAATTGACAAAACAACCCCTTCTGCAAATCCCAAATAGCACAAGTATTCCAAGAGCTCCTCAACATCTGCTCTCCTCTCTTAGATTGTTTAGATATATATTTGAGTTAGGGTAGTGTTACTTGTCTAGATACTGTTTCTACCTTCGGCTTCCAACATAACGCTAGAGGTATGTAGCCGCTTACATCGCGCGTGTTGCAGCCCTCCGGTTTCAGCTCGCAGGCATCTGGTGAGTATATTTAAAACTAATGCGATCTAGCCTAACTAGTGTATTGTGTGGCTGGTTGAGTGAGACCCATACGCATCATAATGTCTTGAAGTCCCTCGATCTTTTGGAAAGATGATTTGGGATTTTCAATCAACCGCCCGATCGGCTCCGTGTTCTTGTCGACCTCGCCGATATGGAGTACAGACATGTACGCAGTTCTGATGAACCTATGGAAGTGGAGGTCATCGAATTGACAACCAAAAACGACAACAATGTACACCACTACGCTCCTCCTCCCGAATCACCGCCGAGTGACACGAAATACGATCCTTTCATAGCACATCATAATAGGGAGCACTATCAACCAGCCCAACCACCCGCCAAATGGCCACATTCTCAGAAGGTCTCTGTCGCGAAGCTCACACCTTGGAGGACTACCGTGATGGTGTTCGATGTGGTTCTGGCTTCGGCACCTATTATGTTCATAGGTAAGTCCTATTTGGAAGTCTGTTCGCGCCCACGCATGTCTCCGCTGGCTGGCTTCATGGTCATCATCTGCTTGTGCATGAGAGCGTGTATATTAGCTTTCCCGGATTTGGTGCTAACACAAAGCAGTTCTTGCTATTCTGGCTGCTAGACTAGATAATACAGTACTAACAGCGTCTGGCAACAAACTCATGGAAATACTCAAGATATCTCCTACTATCTATCCAATCATGTTCGCCGCTATCATGGGACGATTGTTCCACGCTCTCGGCCTATACCTTGCTGAACGAGGCACTACACTCGGACGTCTTGAGCACTTGATCGGCTCCCAATCCATCGCGTCCGCGCTCGAACGCCTAGTCTGTCTTCGCTCTTGGTCGCTTCTTAGCATCCTGACAGTTGTTGCTTGGGTTCCCTCGCCTTTTGGAGGCCAGGCCGCGCTTCGACTGATGAAGATCGAAGATACGGACCCGTATAGGCACAACGACACGATCACAGAAACGTTTTACTACATCGATCCACTGAATGTCCAAAATTCCTTCCTTTCGGGGGCTAGCTCTTTGAACAGTGGACGCTCAACTTTCACAAGTATCTTTCTGGCGGCCCTGACGATGAGTTCAAATTTTAACAGCGAGGCACTAGACGGATGGGGAAACACGAAACTTCCTATATATCGATCCCTCGAGGCAGATACCACTGGGGAATGGAGAGATATTCCGCAATATCCACTACAACGCCCTACCTGGGCTTCGTGGATTGGAATTCCCGTAAATATCGGTCTCTTACAATCTCGCCAGTCGTACACATGGACCGACTTCAATGTCAAGGCCAGGCAATTCGATATTACATGTTCTAGCAACGTGCGGATGAGCAGGAATGAGAGCGACTTTGGCAACGTTACATCCACTTGGACGCTTAGTTATGTCGACCCCGAATTAAGATGCTCAACGTATCCATGCTCGATCGTTAGCAAGTCATTAGCTCCTGCTGAGGATGGCGAAGACGAAGAATCAGTCTCAGTAGCCCATTGCGAGGTGTCCTACGAATACCTGGAGGCCGAAATAGGCTGCTCTGATGAACTGAACGGTGAATGTTCTGCGAAGAGGCTGCGAAAGCTGGATTTGCTTGCGGACGGATACAGCTCAGATAGTGATGACTTCGTGCGCTCGGTCATCTTGAGCAACCTCATGTCTGCAATGCCGACGACAGATAATATCGGCGTCACTGATCGTCAAGCCCGGGGCTCTACAAATATGGAGAAATGGATGGCAAATCCAGATGATTTCATTGCCGCAACATACGACTTCGTCTCACTATGGAATATGACAACGGACCTTTTCGCCGAGCGCTTGACTATCGTTTGGAATTCATTCTTACAGTCGACATACGCGGCAAGTGCTGTAGGCTACACTGGGGCTGTGCTCGAGAACGTAGTAGATGGAGAGACGTCCTACAACGCTACGACTGTCACACGTATAACTGCGCTGCCCACATACCAGACCAACTGGAAGTGGCTTGCCGTGCTCCTTGTGTGCTCCACCTTGCTACTAGCTGCAGGATACGTTGGGCTGGCACTAAAATATCTCACGATCGCTCCGGACATCATCGGCTACGCTTCTTCATTGACATTGCTGAATCCATACGTCCCAACCCCGACAGGCGGAACGACTTTGGATGGGCTGGAGAGAGCGGCACTGTTGCACGACCTACCCATCAAGATTGGAGACGTGTGCCCAAATGAACCGGTGGGTGCGATTGCACTAGCGAAGGCGGATGGCGGGAGAGTGGGCAACTTAGACAGGAGGAGGTTATATGTATAGGGCTAACCCTGAACGGTCCGGTTGCGTTTTATATGGCTCTAGGCATAATTGCATTCCGCTCCATACATATTAGTTGGTTCGATACGCTATCTGCGTTACACTGAAAGAGGCTTGTCATGTGAGCTTAGGCAAAACTGTGTTCAGCTCTGGAAGCTACGGCACACACGTGTAGATAACTGGCGAACATAACACGTAAGGCTGGATATTGTCAGTATTCTATACCCCGAACATGCGGTGCTTGACTGAGATGTATATTAGAACCGTCTCTTCGGGCGTTGAGACTACGTAGAATGTGGGTAAACCTTCTGTGTATAGAACGCTGTTTTACTGTCCGCGTTTCTACGTATGGATACTGTGTTTTAAGATCTTGGCAGCCCCTTTTCCCTCTCTGCCTCCTCTTGTGATGTATCATCTTCTTTCTTCGGAAGGTTCTTGAGACAAGGTGCGTTGAATAGCCTTCCATCCCAAGCACCTCTCATTGTTCCCACAGCTACCACGCACCAAAGCAGTATCACAGCAACTGCAAATATTGTTCCAAGCACCTCGAAGAATGAACTTCGGAAAATGACTCCAAACTCCATCGTACTGAGGGCCATGACTCCAAGAGGGAAAGTGAAACCCCACCAGCCATTGTTGAACGGAAAGGGCCGAGATTTGTAGATGGATGCAAGTGCAAAGCAAAGCCATGTGAGACCAAAAGCCCACATGATTAGAGCTATAAAGACTCCGAGGACGAAAAAGACATCGCCTGCGACAGGTAGGTCGAAAAAGAGCTCCGTTTGTGGAAAGATCTTACGGCTCACTGATCCGAGATAGGTGATGGCGTATCCGCCCATTCCTAGAGGTCCCAGTGGTAGAAAAGACGAGACGATGATCTCTCGAGGCGGTAATTTGTGAAGAGCCAGACGTGTGTAATACATAACTAGCACAGTCATGGCTAGAGGAGTTGCCATTCCCCACATAATGTAGGACGCAAGTATCGTTCCAAGGGCCTTCTCTGGACTGGTTAAATGCTCAGAAACCCTGGCACCTGTACTAGCAGCGACGATCGAGGCGGCGATGGGTAGCAGTTGAGCGGCGGTGATGCGGTCCAAAGCTTGTCGGTGAGATGCCGATATCAACATAACTGTGAGAGATATTGTCACGGCCACAGCCGCCACTGAGTCAATAATCCAACAAACCCAAGCGAATGTGACTGCCCAAGGACCAAAAGATGGGATACATATATTGCACCAGGCTGAGATGAGTGTAGCAAACCCCATCGGAATCGTACCTAGGAAGAGGGAGTTCACACTATCGGCAATCATGACATTCCAGATCGCCGGGTATAGTGAGTAACGTAGTACAGAGATAGCGAAAGCGCATGAGAATAAAATGGTGTTGAGTATGAAGAATATCACGGCGAGCCAGTACAGCCAATCTGCTTTGAAAGGAATGGCAAAGAGTAGCAAGGAGACAACTCCAGTACCCATAGTGACAGAGAACCAAGACGGAGAGAAGTTCCTGACTATCCTACGCCATCCAACCTAAAACTGGCATCAGTACTGTGTTGTGGTGAACGCAGTTCACAAGCACCTACATCATACTTTGTTAGATTCAAGGGCTTTTGTGTATCTTTGGAAGCTTCATATGACGGCCCAGATAGTTTCGTCCGGTTGTACGATCTTTGACGGTTTATCGGAACCCGTTGAGCGGCAGGCGCAGTCAAGGCTGGGTTGTCAGCGGCGATTTGGTCTATTTCCCAGTCATCCATGATCGCGATGGTGGGGTTTGAAAGCTTTTATGAAGAAAGAGGCGTATACGACAAACTCCGGCTTCACGAAACATATATAGATAGCCATGATCATGACCAAGTTGCTCGCCGCACCGTCACTACCCGTAAGGTTGATCTTGCCCCTCTCTGTTCTAAGTTAGCGTGATGCTGATTCAGCTCTAGACACTCCAGAACCTCAACCTTTTTGCCCTCCAAAATTGCCTCTCGAAAACACCGAGCTTTCGTCTCTTTTTTGGCTGTATGTATCGATTTACTGTAAGGGCTCAAGGTCCTTCAGGCCTTCTTCTCCGACGCCCAGCCCGGAGCTCAACTACGCCCGAAACTTCCGGCCTGGACCCTGTTACCAACACGTACCATTATCATCCCATCTGATAAGATTAAAATTATACGCGACATGCCTGGCTTCCTAGATCTACCTCTAGAGCTCCGCAACAACGTATATGAAATATTGCTTAAAGAAGAGTTGAAATCTCACTTCCGCGGGGTAATGGTTGTGTCGGAAGCATACGTAAGGAGAGAATTACCGCTCCGGTGCTACTGGGGTCTTATACGTGCTTGCCGACAAACTCACCAAGAATTCAAACGGGCAATTCATCATATGGTGGCGGCGAAAGAACTTGCATACGAGTTGGATATCACATTTTCTCACGGCCGGCCGTACTTTTCCATCTCTTGGACACGTTTCGCTGCCTTGTCGCCAACCATCAATCATCTATTTATCAACGTCGACCTCCGGATCCGCGAGCCTTTTCATGATAGCATTATCAATTCCTATGTTCCTCATGAACACGAGCTTGCGCATTTGCTGGAGGACTCACCTGAAAGTTTCGCGGGGCAGCTCTTCGACTACATTGCTATTCTCTTCAAAACGCTAGCAAGTCTGCTGTCACATGGCAACCCGAATTTCAATGTTTTGTATACAGAAGTCATGACTTTGAACCTTCGGACGCCTACAGAGACGGTAGTACCTATCTGCAGCGATCCTCACCCGGTCAGACTTTCTCGTCGCATCTGCGTCGATCGAACAGAGGCCGGTACGCTGCACAATAGAATGAAAAGTACTCTCAAGGCTACGTCAAAAGGGTTCCAAGCCTTTGATGCGAGCGAATGTGATAAACTTTTCCCATTGATTCAGGTTGGATCACTCCGTTTTGCCACGGAAGGAGAGGTCTGGGGCGAAGGTCACAATTTAGTACTCGCACACAACGACTTTCAGTGGTTGCGATATTGAACTTGTGTCCGTATCGAGAAACGACTCTTGCTTGATGTACGAGACATGATATGAACGGCCGTCAAAAGTATTCCATCAGCGAAGAGAAAATGAGATAGATAGTATAGGAAGGCATGTGTATATTAGGTAGCTCATTTGAGCGTTCAAACAATGCACGTCTTAGACATCAAACGGCCATAGTTCCACGTCAGGCATCGTCTGACCTGATCACCAAGGTGCACAACAAGACATGCAAAAATGTATCATTGCTTTATTACACTTGTAATAATACGACTTATGTCTTCCACTTCTCAAGGTAAGCACGACAAAATCGGCCTCAACTTGGCGATAATTTGCTGTTGGAGAGCAGCGTTGGCCGTGGTCTTGTCGTTCGCGTCTCCAGGGCTGATAGCCACATAGCAACTACTACCCCTCACAATTGCAACATCTGTCTCCCATGGCAGACGCGTGCTTCCACACCAATCCGCGTCCCGCTCACTAACAAGGCCGGTATTTATGCGCGTAAGTATGTACTTGAACTGATTGGCGTTGTTGCACCGAGTATCCGAGACTGCAGGGAAGTTGACATTTAACCAGGTATTGTCAGGAAGGTAGGGCTTTCCTGAGTTAATGATAGTGCTTGATATGTTAAGCGCTAGGTCCGAATAGATCTGGCTCGAGAGCGGCGTTGCCTGATTCCATGCCGTGCGTTCTCCCGTCTGTCCAGAGAAAGCGATAGCTGGAATTTTGAAGTTTTTCACTGCCTCGACGGCGGCGCCGACGGTTCCTGAGAAAGGCACTTGAATCGCGACATTGCCTCCGATGTTAGGTCCGGTAAGAGCGAGCTCTGGCGCAGCGCCGTTCCACAACTTGGGTGCAGTGACAGCGATTCCAGTCTTCATCGAAGTCACAGGGTACGAGTTGACGTAGTTGAGGCGTGGGTCGCTAGAGTTTGCTCCAGTCGGAGGACTTCCGCCGGGGCAAGATTGGTACTCGCAACCATCTGAGTCGACCGTGGTTGGAGTTTCATCCTTGGAACCTGAGCTGGTTAGAATGTGCTGGTAAGTGTACGCGAAAAAGGCACTAACCAGCTCCTGATTTGTTCTCAGCTGGTCCTGACAGTAGCACTTGGTGACCCGCCGTGCTCAGCACATCGAAAAATGTTCGGAGGTTCATCTCAGCCCAACCATCGTCGTTGCTTTGAATGATACGAATGCCTTGAACGAGAGGAAGAGCGACAGCGAGCACAATGCAGAACCGCATCTTGGTTTAACGAGCGAAATGATAAAACGAGTGGCTACTAGCGAAGAACAACAGCGGTTTGAGGCCGGGTAGAGGTAGGACGCTGGTACTTGCCTGGGAAACACTGACCAACCCAGTGTCTATATATACAAATGGCAGGCTCCTACACCAGTCACTCAGTGACCGCAACCCACAGCAAACGCATCCTACTTTCGACTACATCCACATATGAGCCGATGGGAACAGGCCAAGCCGATGGGAAATGACAAGTGAAGCAGAACGTGCGTCGGCCCGCGACGTGATTGAGTACTGAATAGATTGGAAGCTAGGCGAATATCGGCTTTACAGCTGTGAGTGGTGTAGATGTCCGAAACGGCTCGGGTAATGTCTGTGCGGCGCGACCTCTTCTGGTTGGTGTGTCCGATGTGACATCTCCGTTCACACCTTCTCTATCTTCACATGCCTTATTTCGTCTCAGAAGGAGCCTTACACAATCCCTACAGGTCTAACGCTCCAGAATACAGGAGCCTGATAGGCCCGTTCTACCAATCGTTGATGACCCTCGATTTGTACAAGTTGCCCGGAACAACAAGAAAAGAATCTCTGGCCGTGTCATTTTGTGGAAAGGCGGAGACGGCGGCAGAGGGAAGTAAATTTTTCAAACATGCTGGCGGTATTGGAATAAGGCACGTGGGTAAATTGCGACATGCGACCATTCAAGCACTGAATAGACTCGTCTCCTTAGATGTGATCCACCGACATCTCACTATCACACACGGTTTTGAGTAAGTAACTTGTTTGAACGTGATCTGACATTGTCTCACGTATGTTCTTTATAGCTGTTCGACACCCTCGTCTCATGCACTGTCTACCATCCTCAGCTACGCCATATGTGCAGGCTTCAAAGGTTGCGTTTGGTAGAATTCTGTCGCAGGACCTGCTTGATATGGAGGCAAATATTGGTTGCCTTGGAGTTCTATGGGTTGTCCAGTCTGCGCGTAGTATGCTGTGTTCTGCTGGTAAGGCGGCGCACCCTGGTAAGGAGGTGGGTATGCGGATGGGGCTGGAGCAGCAGGGTTGTGGGCGGGAGTGTAGTTGCCACGCTGGGATTGCTTCTTCGCACGATTATACCCAATTATGGCGTAGATGAGGAGACCTAGGAAGGTAGCACTGTGATATGTAAGTCATCTAAACAGCATTTCGATCGCAATTCACGCATAATGCACTTACAAGACGAAAATACTGAAACCAAGGCTGGCCGTACTGGCGCCGTCTGCAATGGCGGCGAAGTCCATGATCACTACTCCTCCCCAAAACCCAGTCTGGAAGCAGTTCATTGTGAGGAATGTTCCAGGCTTTAGAGCGTTGCGCAGAAAGAGGACGATAGCCAGGACGTCGATCAAGAGTACAATGAGGATTAACAGCATAAAGACTACCACTGACCTGGAAACAATCAGTGCTTATCTTTGTGGATGTAATTCGCAACTCACCCTACGGCCGGTTTGACAACGTCCTGAATATCGCTGAGGGCTCGCAGACTCCACGCGTATGCAGCGATGATGAGAATCATCATGCATATACGCACGATCCAGAAAGGCACGAGGATTCGCTTCTTCCAGGCTGTCGGTTGCTGAGCCATGTTGACGTCGTACTGTTTTGCAGGAATAGTCGGTCGCAAGTGGAGGTAAGAAACGTATGTCGTGTTGAGAAGTCAACAAAGAAGCGACGACCAGTGTCAAGAAATCATCAATCAAAAAGAAATGTCGACGTTATTCGAGACAGGCGCGACTGGGATACTAAGTTCAGGGGAACGCGCCTCTTGATTGTTGCTGAAACACGCGTTGATGACCTTGCAGCGCATCTTCATTTCCCATTGTGGCAATGCGCCGTGTCATAGGTGAGCTGTATAGCGTAGTCGCGAATCTGTTGTGATGGACAAGAATCCAATGCACGATCTTGGACACAGGTGTGATTGCCAGTAGAGTTGTGGCTCAGACAGAAGGTTAAGGAGCGGATGGAGAAACGGGCGTTGCCTACAAGATCCACATGGAAGCACGAGCCATACGTTGCACATAACTCGTAGTGGTGCGGGGCTAGAACAAGTTGCCAAAAAACAAGTCGAAGCCCGCGGCAGGAATAGACATTGGAATTGCAAAAAGTAATGACCCTAAACCGACTCGAACGGCTAACCTTCAGGTGACTCCCAAGAGTCTGGAATCTGACGCGCTACCATTGCGCCATAAGGCCTCGATGATTGATTTTCAAAGTTTGCAAAATATATCCATACCGCTGTACGTATGTTAGCCGTGGTGTTGAGCGTTGTGCCCACTTTGCCAAGTCCGAGTTTACCAATGGAGTGGATGATGATGTGGGCCTTGTCGGTCAGACAAAGAACTTTCATTATTCAAGACGTTTCATTTTGTGGGGTTGTCTTCGTTGGCGTGAACAACTCTCCACATCCGTCATTGCTGTCGTGACACGTCGTGATTCGAAGCTTTGGCTTTAGTCATCACGAGTCGATTCTCACAAGCCATCTAAATTGCCAATTTTTGCTTGATTGGACTACAGGACCACCTATCATAGCTGAAGGTGCGGTGGAGGATGAGTTGTTACTACACCTGGGGGTATTTTCCTTGTCATCACGTTGAGGCGTGGCGAACTCGGCGCGTCCTGCGCATCTGACACATGGCACGAATGCCACGCGACGTGTGCCACGCGACTGATAAGCGATAAGGTGCGGCACCCATCCTCTAACATCAGCTTGGTTACCAGCTGGGTTACTATCACTCTTCCAACTCCAGCGAATCCGTGCTACAAACAATGGGTGCCAACCAGTCGAGACCCTCAGAGGCCGTGGTGAACGAGCAGCTGCTAGAGCGGCTCCAAGCTCTCCATATGAAGGCTGAAACAACCACAAACGAGAAGGATGGCTATGTCTACATCGATGGCGAATCACGTACGTTTTTAACGAACCGCACTGTTGAATGGCCTGAAGTCTAACGAATTTAAAGCACCCAAGTACCCATCTATCGCAAGAAGCCAGCAGGACGTGTCCGCCGCGGCTATCGGACAGTGGGAGAAGGAGCTCATGGAAGATCCAAAGGTCTAGTACTCAAAGATGAAGTATGCAAAGATAGTATTGACAACCTCGTAGAACCGCCTCGCCCTAGCTGCCCTCAGTTGCAATCCAGCCAACGCTGTGCTATCCTCACGATCAGCCACAATCTCAGACGCCCAAAGCTTCAACATCAAGATACCGATGGAAGGATCTCCGATCACCAATCAGGCTTCCTCTGGTCGATGCTGGCTCTTTGCCTCTACCAACGTTTTCCGAGTTGCTATAATGAAGAAGTACAAGCTATCTCAATTCCAGCTATCGCAAGCATACCTCTTCTACTGGGACAAGATCGAGAAGGCAAACTACTTCTTGGAGAGTATACTCGACACGACGTCCGAAGACATTGATAGTCGGCTAATACAGGCACTTCTGGCAAGTCCAGTCGGGGATGGGGGGCAATGGGACATGGTCGCCAACCTAGTAAACAAGTATGGTCTCGTGCCTCAGGCACTATATCCAGACTCGTTCAACGCGAGCAATTCCTCGACCATGGACCGTCTCATAACCACCAAATTACGAGAGGACGCTGTCCGCCTGAGGTCAATCGCGTCAAGTGCTGCGGCCGCAGATGTTATGAAGGCTACCATCGCCGCCGAGAAGGACAAGATGCTTCGCGAGATTCATCTTATCTTGACTCTCATGCTTGGACCGCCTCCGAATCCTGACAAGGCCTTTACTTGGGAATTCTATGACCGAGACCGTCATTTACACACTGTGCGTATGCGCCCCACTGCCTTCGCAAAGGAATTATCCGACTGTAAGACTGTTCGCGCTCTCTCGGGTACGGATGTGCACCAACTCTTCTCTCTTGTCAACGACCCTCGTAACCCCTACAACCGCCTCCTTAGTGTGAAGCGGCTCGGAAACGTGTGGGAAGGTCGTCCAGTGACGTACGTAAACGTTGACATGAAGACCATGAAGCAAGCCTGCGTCAACATGCTCAAGCGTGGTCTACCCATCTTCTTCGGCTCAGACGTAGGCAAGTTCTCCGATTCCACAAAAGGCATAATGGATACGAAGCTCTTTGATTACGAACTTGGGTTCAATGTTAAGTTCGGCATGTCAAAAGCCGAGCGCCTGCAGACGGGCGAGAGTCAGATGACGCACGCCATGGTGCTGACTGCTGTACATGTTGTCGATGGAAAACCGGTGAGGTGGAGAGTAGAGAACTCGTGGAGCGATCGTGTGGGCGACAAGGGATATTTTGTGATGAGCGATGCATGGATGGACGAGTTCGTTTACCAGGCGGTCATTGATCCAAGCGTCGTAAGTTCAACGATCAGAAAGGTGCTAGAGCAGAAGCCGAAGATGCTGGAGCTCTGGGATCCGATGGGCGCATTAGCTTGAGCATTTGTTGGAGATGGCACGAAGCTGGCAAGTGCATGATATGTTTGGACCGTATTCTAGCTATTTTCTCTTGAATGAACCTGATCAATCCTTCACGACATAAGAGAACGCGTTCGCAAAGTCCACTTTGAAAAAATCTCACAATACTAGAGATATAAAGACCTTACTGAGTGCCTCAGTTCTGTGCCATCGTGGCGCCACATGACGATCTTGCGCTGCGCGATGACTCCGCTGTAGTGGCCGGAGATACCGTACTGCCCCGCATATAAAAAGTCGCCGCGACCTTGAAGTAATACGACAACACGTTCCAATTGCACCTATCCACGCCGACGATGGCCACCAAGAAATCTCCTTTCGATTTGCAAAAGTGTGCGCGACCAAACATCCTCGCATTGGAGCCATACCGTTGCGCACGCGAGTAGGTGAAGCTTGATGATTCCGACACAACGTTTAGAGCTAACCATAGCCAGCGACTACAAAGACAATGGCACAAACATCCTGCTCGACGCGAACGAGAACGCATACGGACCAGGACTGGCGTTGAATGGCGAGAGCACACTATCTGCGTCATCAATTGATGTGGATTTGCTTGGGTTGAATCGCTATCCTGACCCGTATGCTCATGTCACTCTTGCATTTCCAACTTTGGGACTGACACGATGCCATGTAAAGTCACCAAGCGGAGCTTAAACAGAGTCTTTGCAACCTGCGCAACACGCACACGCATACCACCAAGACGATCACGCCCGACAACCTCTTCGTTGGCGTCGGCTCCGACGAAGCCATTGACGCCCTTATCCGCGCATTCTGCGTCCCCGGCAAGGAGAAGATCCTCACATGTCCACCTACGTATGGAATGTATAGCGTCTCTGCCCAAGTGAACGATGTCGCCCTCGTCAAAGTCCCACTACAGCTTCCGAGCTTCGATCTCGATGTACCTGCCATAACAGCCGCTCTCTCCGCCGACCCAAGCATAAAGCTTGCATACCTATGTTCACCAGGAAACCCAACAGGCAAACTGCTGAAGAAGCAGGATGTTCAGCGGATACTGGAGCATGAGAGTTGGAATGGCGTCGTAGTGTTGGACGAGGCATACATCGACTTTGCACCAGAAGGTGCGAGTCTGGCAGAGTGGGTCACCGAATGGCCAAATTTAGTTGTCATGCAGACACTATCCAAAGCTTTCGGCCTCGCTGGTATACGGCTAGGAGCCGCATTTACCGACCCAGCAATAGCCCAACTGCTGAACGCCATGAAAGCACCATACAACATCCCGAACCCAACAAGTCAACTCGCACGAGCAGCGCTAAGTTCGAAGCACCTCGATATCACACGAAAAAACATAGATTCCATCGTTAAGCAGCGTGACAGATTGCTAGCTGAACTTCCAAAAATCCCTGGAGTTGGTCAGCTGATAGGTGGCGTCGAATCAAACTTCCTACTCTACTCGATACTGGACGCACCTGCAGACCAAGGCGGGAAGGCTTCAAATGAGACAGCGCTAGCTGTCTACGAAGGCTTAGCGGAAGAGAAGGGCGTTGTTGTACGATTCAGAGGAAAGGAATATGGGTGCATGGGTTGTCTCCGCATAACAGTCGGTACAGAGAAAGAGGTAGATCGCTTTCTGCAGGAGATACGATTGGTCCTAGAGAGTACCTACAAAACCTCGAGACAACTTAGCGGCAAGGAAGAAGAGAATAAGGAGAAGGAAGCGAGTGCTGTGGTTGCATAAGAGACACGTAGATATTGGGGTCGAGTCATCGTATCACACGGAGTTCCGTGTCTTTATCGGGCTATCATAGATTTTAGTATCAACGTACATTCTAGAATCCTGCATGTACAGGACATTCATATTCTGAGTATATAGAACGACTCGGAAGTACAAAGGCTAGATTTGTGCAACATCACCCAGTTCTCCTTTTACCAAATCCGACCTAAGCTTCTATCTACGCACTTCATGATATTGAGATAATCTTGCAGGTGGTTATTACAATGGCTAAGTTGAGCCACGCGATAAACCAATGTATAAAACCGCTCTTCATAGAGGGATAGAATAACTGACGTGGACAACAGAAAGGCCAGAAGAAACGAGGACAACAGGGAACAGGGAAGTGAAAATGTCGTGAGCATCCCAACACGGCAGGCACGCTAACATGATCGCCACGTGATTAGCGAGGTGGGGACCCACAAGGTCGTCTCACATCAAGACAGTGCTTGCACAATATGTAAGCCTGCCTCCCAACTGCTTCGGCGTTTCAAGCTGACAGATTGAAGTAAATTTAAAGTTCTTACGCGATCTGGCAACGGTAGCCTGGACTGTAAGCGCCGCCAATATGCTGGCCGACGGGAAAATTGATTCGCTGGACACACGTCTTGAGCAGTTCAAACTGAATAATCAGAGTACACAAAGTAATTTGCAGGTGAGCTGCATCTTCTCCCTGATCTCGACGAGAGAAACGCTAACTCCCCTCCGGAATCTTTTGAGGGATCATGGCCAGCTGCTTAGCGACTACAAGTCTTTAAGAGCAGCATTCGAAGAGCAGGGCAGTAGAGGAGCCGTCAAGCACTCGTCGATAACAGCCCACAACTCATATGTACTCATGCTCGTGGATGGAAATGGTTACATTGTCAGTCGCACCGCCTGAAAGATCAGACTCGAGATCAGCTACTGACTTCCCTCAGTGCAACGATGAGCTCATACGCGAAAAGGAAGAGGGCGGGATGCGAGCCGCAAGGATGCTAAACGATGCAGTAGAGAAGTACCTACAACAAAGCGTTCCCGAAGCCCGAACCTCACGCATAGTTGTTCGCATCTATGCGGATCTTACGAATTTGTCAAAGCAACTAGCAAAATCAAAAGTTACAGGCCTGGAGAAGCGCTCAATCGCACCGTTTTCAGCAGCCTTTACACGTGCGATCAGCCTTTTCGACTTCGTTGATGCATTGGATGAGGAGGGTACCAAGTTCAAGATTAGAGGTATGTCTTACGTCGTCTCCTGCCATTACCTAACATGCGTTTGACTAATGACTTATACGTATGCAGAGCAATTCAAATTTGCATCTGAAGACAAGGCCTGCAGTCATATCCTGTATGCTGCTTGCCATGACAACGCTTATCTGTCTCAGCTGGCACCTTTCAGCGGTGCACGTAGCAAGATCACACTTGTGCAGGGTGCAGGCTTCATCTCCGAGTTTCACCAGTTCAAGTTGAATATTACCCAGTTTCCAACCATCTTCCGATGGTCAGAACTACCAACCGCTGCTGTGCCTGTCACGAGCACACCAGCTCCCGACCGGTCTGCATCCCCTAAAGAACTAGCAGCGCCAAGATCGGCAACGAGTTATGTGCCATTACATCTGCGCAAGACTCAAGGTTCGTGGCGAGATCGTGCTGCAGATGCGGAAAGTTCTTCACCTGGGTTTGATGAATCATCCTCGGTGAAGACGGATGGCTTCGGCGACGATTATGGTTCTGGCTATCAAGAAAAGTCCAATGCATCGAAGAAAGCGAAGGTTCCTTGCAGATACTTTCAAAAGGTACCATTGCTCTGCATCCTCTGTTCATCATCGCACTGACATCATCAGGGTTTCTGTCAAAATGGCAGTAAATGCGGTTTTCAACATGACCCTACTACCTTGAACAGCTCAAAACAGCAGCATACCATACATCGGGATGAGATCACTACAGATCGTTCCAACGTATCTGGCATGTTGCCCGTCGTAACGGCAGCAGGTTACATAGCTCTCAACAAAGACGGCCAACGACTGGACACCGTCATCCGATCGCCAACTCAGGACGAATGGGTCGTATACAACTCTCGCTTCCGTCAACAAAAGCCCTGCAACAACTTCCACTTGCAGCAAGACTGCACAGTTCCTAACTGTCCCTACGATCACAATGATCTTGAGCCCGAGGCACGTCATGTTTTGGAGTATGTACTCAAGTGCAATCCCTGCCCACGTAAGAGCAATTGTCGCGCGTCTGACTGCTATTACGGTCACATCTGCCAGAAGGACGGTTGTACGGGTCAGATGAAGGGATGCAAGATGAAGGCAAACCTTCACAACATCGACCCGAACCTTGAGAGTATGGTACCGGCAGAGAACGAGCCTTTGCAAGTGAGTTCTGTGCAGGCGTCGGAAGATATCCCTGCCTTTATGTGGTAGGGACACAGTGGTGGATCGATTGCATACACGTCTGCCATTCTCTTGACATGGCGGGAAGTTAAAACAAAGCTATGTATCTTGCGAGTTACTACGATTATTTTGGCGAATGTATGTACGAAGGGGAAAAGATGTTTCGCGAACCGTTGAAGAGCAAGGTATAGAACAAACCAGTGTATATCTGATCGTGGTGTTTATTAGGTCCATAGCCCACGCAGATCATACTTCTGCGGTAAGCTGAGAGGAGTCATGTAGAACGACAGCAAAATTGTACAATGTTGAATATGCAGAAATGGACGATGGCTACCTAGGCGCCTCAACCGGCTTCGAGGTTCCATCACCTAGTGCCGTGTTGATCCACTCCCCATCGTAGCTGAAGTCGTAGTCAGGGTGGGATGAAACGTACTGTTAGCTCCCAGTGTGAGGATTATACTACCTTTTCGGGGAATTCTCCAGCAGTTGGTCTTTTGGATATGCATTTGAAGTCAACTTGAGTGGAGATGTTGAGTGGGAATGAGATGTTGCGTTGGGAAGGGAAATCAGACGTCGGCTGATGAACAAAGATTGATGATACGGAAATTCAAGCGGCGCAACTTCAAAGACAATGTTCATGAACGTGTAAACCTTGCAGTGTTATGTCCTCTGAGTTCGTGGCGTTCCCAGGAGTTGCATATTCTTGCGTGCTCACAGTGAGCCCTCTAGAAATTTTGCTACCGTCTCTCATGATTGCTCGCTTCACTTCCTTCTCTTCTAAAGGACAAATTCAAGTCAACCCGAGGCGCCGATGAGAGTTGCCTCAATCATCGAAAAGATGGTGCGGATGTGTGAATGACCAACTCTTGTTGAGCCTGCGTATATACAATTGTATCTCGCGTCACCTGAACGCCTGCCCAATATTGCAAAGACCATCCCAACTCCCTCTATGCGTGCATAGCGTCGACTCATACACTTGGCTGTGTTGTAGGATATACATATTGTACAATGATGGACGAGTCTAATTTCGCTTGTGGGGTCCAACAATCTTCGGATACATTCTCGAGAGGTGGTAGTTGATGTTGTTTTTCTTCTGGTTTGGATTGCGCTGGAAAGAGAGTCAGGAATTCGTGTTGAAGTAGTCTTGGCAAAAACATACTGGCGCATCCATGCACAGCCGTAACTTTTGCTCAAGCTGTGCACACCCTTGAACGCTGTATCCCGAAGATGCCCAGCAACCTGTCAAGACAAGTCAGCATTATTGTCCTGCCAGACCCCTCATATGTTGTCCAGTGTTGTCGAAAGTGGCGTATCCCCCGCATCCCCACTTCCAACTCTCTCGTGATGAAGCTGCAATTGCAATTCATATCTCCCTCCATGACATACCCAGAACTGACGACATGGCGCCCAGACATGGGTTCGCTTCTGGCTTGTTCGGTCGGCGCACGCGGAGCTTGGGAAGCGGCGGTAGTGGGCGATGGGTGACGGACGTGACGGCCTGGCCCTGCGGTTTGGGCACCATTTCGAGGGTATTCGGTTCGGAGTCGGTGGGTTTAACTGTCGGTTTGACGGCGATCTGGTCGAATGCGAGGGGTTTGGCCGTCGTAAAGTCGATGCACAATCAAAAAGTTGTCACGCGGGAACGGCCCTAGCGCGATTCCCCACCGGCCAGGGTCGCACCTTCTGTTTGTTTATCGCAGCCGCATCTCCAACCGGCCCAGGATACCGCGCATAACGACCCTTTTTCTCGACCGAGGGACGCACTGGCTTGGATGATCGTGTTCCGGCATTAATATACTAACAACAGCATTATTCAACCTTGTCGCCATGGCTCCTTCGCCGCGCAAACGCGCGCCGCCTGCTTCGTTTCAACAGACATGGAACGACACTGATGCCGCCTTCCTCGACACGAGCGCCCTCCCCGTATCCAAGATCCCCCGAGGCTGGGAACGCAAACAAGAAATCAAGAAGGCCGGTGACGGCAAGGAGAAGAAGATCTGGCGAAGAATTAGCCTCCGGTCGCGTGGGCTACCCGCGACAGAGGGGGACGAGGAAGAAGAGGAACACGATGCGCGGTCGCGAGCAGTAAAGAGACGGCAGCACATGAGCCCCAAGACTATGGAAAAAACGAGCACTGCACCCAACAGCAAGACGCGCGCCTTCAAAGCGACGCGTTGGGATCGACGGAAGAGCGTCCTGCCCAGTATGACGACGCTCTTGTACATAACCAGACCGCACACTGATTCGATACATAGGAAAGAGAGCTACACGGAGTTCCGCGGTCGACGTAGAGGCGGTGAGCGATATTGAAGACACGACAGACCCAAACATGGCCAACGATAGCTCCACAGATGTTGATATGGCCGGCGTCCAGACGGTAGCACCAGCCCGAACTCTGCAACCAAACAGTGAGGACAAGAGGACATCGTTCACATTTACAATGGAGGCGGAGACAGTCGAGGATCTTCCTGATTACGAGAGCTTGGATGGTTTTGAAGACGCCACTCTTGGTGCTGAGCCATCACCAGTAGAGGATGCCACAATCAACATACTTTTCCGTTCGCCAGCTAAGACAGTTCCGACACAGCCCTCCAGGTCCCCGGAGAAGGTGGAATATCCTGAATTGCCTGGCAACGATAACCAAGGGGCTGGAAGTGAACTTGACATGGCCGGAGACGACCTTGCTGCAGACCAAGATCTCCACGAGGACATTGTTCACCAGCAGACGAAGCTTCTTGAGCCTCAGACGGAAGAACAAGCCCCGGGCATTTCGGAGCGCTCTGACCCAGGTCCATCACCAGATTCAAATGAGATTGCCTATCCAACTCTGCCGATAGAGATAATTTCGACAGAACCTTTGGCCGACCACAACAGCGAACGCAAGGATGTAGAAATGTCTGAGATTGAGTTGGACATGGAGACCAGCCAGGACCACCAAGTAGAAGACGAACATAATGGCTCTGCCGTTTCCAATTCATCTAAAGAAGGGTCTGTTGACGAGGACTCCACCGAAGCCTCGATACAATTGGACATTCAACGACAATGTAATATGTCTTTGGAAGAGGAGCACTCCGAGGATCCTCAAGCTTCACCTCAAGTAACGCCTAAAGAAACTCCACTAGACGACATTGCCACTGGACTCCGACTCACACCGGCGAAACTCCCAGCAGCCGAAGCCACACCACGAAGACTACATTCTCCACCCCCACCACCCCAGAGCGAGTCTGGTCCAGATGACATGACAATGACTGTCGCCATGGACGACGACACGGCTATTTTGAAAAACTTTCTTAACCGCGCTGCTGCAAGCAAGGCGGAGAGAGAGACATTTGTCCATCGTCGCGAATCGCTGCAAAACCGCCGCGATTCAGATGTCGTGAGAGGTGCGCTTTCATCGCCCCGTAAAATTCTGGCAGACAAGGATCCCAATTCACCATCGAAGTATGACGCTGGTGTGGCATTGGATCTCTCTCAAACGCTTACACTGAGCGCGGACAAAGACCTTCCTGCGTCCCAGGTCCTGGAGCAAGCAGAAGCAGAAGACAGCCCAGAGGCTGATTCAACACAAGGTTCGAGGCGATCATCTCGAGCGAAAAAGTCACGTTTGCCTGCTCCGGCTTCAGCATCGCAAGCCCAAACGTCAAAGATTGCTATTCGACGTACCGATGGGAGCGAGCACGTCGTGCTCAAGAAAAGTGACGCACAGGAGCTTGCCAACATTACTAGGGTCAACACGCGCAAGAACAAACAGGGGGCTTTCGGCGTGCATGTGCGCCTCCTCAAGCTCGCGATGGAATCCTACGGTCTCCCCCCTGTAGATGAATCCACCAGGGAGATTGTGCTTGGAAAGAACATTCGCTGGGACGAGCAGCTGGCATACTATCAGGAAAACACAGACAACGCCGCGAACCAGCTCGCAGAGGCTGAATCTCTAGCTACGCCTGATGAGCTCAGCCTGCCAACTCCATCATCCATTCCAAGCGTCACCCCCAAGCCCAAGGCTTCAAAAGATCCCAAAGACTCCAAGGACAAACAATCAACACCCAAAGTCCGCAGAGTCCGTGGCCTCGGCACAGCAAACGGCACACCAGGAAAGGGTCTCCTCGCACCGGCTTCCCTACTCCCCGACGCCGTCCAGGAAGAGAAGGACGCAGCCTCCACACAACCACAAAGACTCCCCAAACCAAAGTCGAGCAAGCTCAAGAAACCATCCACAGAATCCTCGACACCGGTTGACACGAAGCTCGCCACACTGGAAATCACGCCCATAGGCATTGACCCTACCAAGGAACGCAAGAGTCGTCTTGCCACGCCGAAAAAGGTCAAACTCCCTCAACCCACATCCGCAACTGTGGCGGTGGAAGGCAAGGAAAATCCCCAACGCTCTGGCCTTGGTCTGGGGGATGCTACGCCTAAGAAGGGCATTCCTGTACCTAGGGTTGTTATCCCGCCGCCTGCTGTTGGCATGGAGTCTGGACTGCCGAGGCGGAGAGGGCGGAAGGTGTAGACGAACGTGCACTTCTTCTTTTTGGGATGTTGGAGGGGTTTCAACAGTGTGTTTAGCATTTGATCTTTTTACGATTTGTCATGATATTGTTTTGTGTTTGGAGTTTTATACCTTCTTCTTCTACTACTACTTCTTTGGCATGTAGAGCGCGTTAAGCAATGGTTTTGCTTTTCTTTGGTGTTTGGATCTATGCATTGGATAGAGTGCATTACTCGGCGTTTCGAAGTGGGGTTGGTTTGGTAGATGGGACGCTACTACTACTATTTGTTTTTCTGGAGTCGAAAGGCATACTTTTAGATAATCTGATCAATAGCTTCAACAGCGTATTTTCACTTCTTTCCAGGGGTTTGTCTTGTCTTGTTCACTCGCGGAAATGCCTGGGATAGCCGAGTCTAGTCCGGAAGCAGCATGGCGATCCGAGATCTTGACTTCATCTTCCAGTACTGCGTTTTTCCACTCACGACTACTTTAGAGAGGCGCGGGGTACAGTGTGGCTTCTAGTTACTTTGTGAGTTATTCTGATAGAATCTGCTGCTCTATCTCTTGTAAGATCGTACATTCGTTGTGGCTACGTGGAAATATCAGTCAGCTGACCAGATTAAAGCGACTTCGATCAACTTACTGTCCAAGTTATACACACTTGAAAGAATCCAGACGTCGTTGTGTCCAAGTAGCCAGTTTCCAGTTCTCAACTCTACCTCCTGGACCCCTGAAAAGACGGCGAATCCAGGACACAACTCTACCCAACAAACATACAAAACAGCCAAAACCCAACCACCCCACAATGTCCTCAACCACAACCCTCCCACCCCCACTCGCCACAAACCCCACCCCCACAACCTCAACCCGCTACACCGCCCCCCTAACAACAGCCCACACCTCCGGCCTCCCCATAATCGACATCTCCCCCTTCCTCTCCGCCACCTCCGCCCCCTCCGCGCGCCACAAAACCGCACAGGCTATAAACGCCGCCTGCGTAAACTACGGCTTCTTCTACTTATCTGGCCACGGCATCCCCGTCGAAAAACTCGACGAGATACTCGCCCTAGCGCGGCGCTTCTTCGCGCTTCCGCTTGCGCAGAAGAATCGGATTAAGCGGTTTGATGCTGGGGGGGCGGAGGGCGGGGATAGTGCAAGAGGGTATCAGGGGCTGGGGGAGAATGTTACGGGGGGGTTGCAGGATTTGCAGGAGGCGGTTGATTGGTATCGGGAGTGGGATTTCCCCGGGGAGGATGGTGGGGATGGGACGGTGAAGACGCTTCAGGGTGCGAATCTGTGGCCTGAGGAACCGGTGGAGCTGAAGAGTGTGTATGAGGCGTATATCGCGCAGGTGCAGGGTGTGGGGAAGGCGCTTGTGCATGCTATGGGCGTGGCGCTTGGTCTTGGACCGCCTGCATCCGACGACGACGACGCGGAAGATGAAAACGTCTTCGTGCGTAACTGCGCTGCTTCCTTCTGGGTCATGCGCATGATCGGCTACCCACCGCTCTCCACCCCTTTATCCCCCGGCTCAGACCCCTCGCAATTCTCCTGCGGCGCACACACAGACTACGGGTGCGTCACCCTGCTGCTCACCGACCCCACGCCAGGCGCGCTACAAGTCCAGCTCCGCGACGGCACATGGCTAAACGCGGACCCCATCCGCGGCGCCTTCGTCGTCAACATCGGCGATATGATCGAGCGGTGGACGAACGGGCTTTGGAAGAGCACGCTGCATCGGGTTGTGCACAGGGGGGATAGGTATAGAGTGTCTGTGCCGTTTTTCTACGAGCCCGGGTTTGATAGCGTGGTGCGGCCGTTGAGGGAGTGTGTGAGGAGGAGTGGGAGGGCGGAGATGGGGGAGGGGGGGACGTATGGGGAGCATTTGCTTACCAAGGTTTTTAGCAATTTTTATTATAGTAAGAGGACGGATTGGTGATTTGAGGGGGGGGGGGGGGACTTGGGGCGGGATGATATCGATTCACTGTCTGGACGTACGTGGTAAACGTGGTTCTTGAAGTTGTAGGAAAACTCAGTCTGCTGGCAAGATCATTCCGTTCGCCAACCCGAACTTTATCAAATCATCGGAATTTTTCAATCTCACAATGCACGCATAATTTGGGTTGAACACTCCGATCAATGCCGTTCGCTTCGTCATGTAGTCAGACCATGAACCACGGTATCACATTTTAACACAGAGCAAGACGTCTTCAAGGCTAGCAATCCCTAGCTACCAACCAAGACACCATCCTCAAACCCGCACCCCAATGCAACCGCTCACATGATAACCTCGTTCGAAACATCCTGTACATCAAATTAGCCATGAACTTCACAATTCCTAAAATATCGAACATACCCTCTTGAGTTCCTTATTCGGCAGACAAACACAGTTCTGCACGCGCACCTCATCCGCAACCGCGCAATCCTTGCCCAGAATCGTGATGCTCTGGACCTTGACGCCATTCTTGATGATACTAGTAGCATGACTGGTGACGGGTGTAGGCGTACCTTCGACACGAGCCCAAGCGCCGATCTTGCTGTGCCAGCCGACAATCGTATACATGACGCAGGCGTCGTGCTTGATCTCCGAGTCCTCAAGAACGATGGACTCCTTGACGCGGACACCGGCTCCGATGTGCACGCGCGGACCGATCGACACGTTGGGTCCGAGCTTCGCTGTGGGGTCGACGTGGGCGGAGGGGTGGATGTAGACGGGTGGGAGGATGTTTGCGGAGGGGGCGGCGAGTTCGTCGGAGCCTGACTGGAAGGCCCGCATCAGGTAGAGGGCGTTGGCGGGTACGGCGGAGCCGGCTGTCTTGATCTGGCGCCAGAAGTCCTTGCTCTCCAGGACGAAGAATTGCCTGCTGTCGGCTATGTCGGACAGCACATCCTGCTCCAGGCGGATGACGGCGTTTTCCTTCTCCTCGTCGTCGTCCTGGCCCGCGTAGAAAGACGACTCGAGGTTCTCGGACGAGGGGTAGGAGAGCAGCCGTGGGCGCTCGGTGCGGCGCTTGATGGCGCTGCGGATGGCGGGGAAGATGCACTCGGTCGCAAAGAGGTAGATTCCGCAGTTGATGAGGTTGGAGATCTGCGACTCTGGCTTCTCGACGTAGTGAAGCACGCGCTTCGTGTGCGAGTCCGACACGATGCAACCGAAGTTGGTCGCGGCTTCGTTGGCGACTCTTGTGCCCAGCATGACGGCCTCGGCATCCTTGTCCTGGAACAGCTTGAGCATCTCGGCCAGCGGGAACGACGAGCAGACATCGGCGTTCAGAACGAACAGCTTGTCTGGCCGGCCCTTCAATATGACATCGCGGAAGTGATACAGGCCTCCTGCTGTGCCCAATGCCTGGTATTCTCGCAGGTACTTGACGCTCAGGTGGGGGAAGCTGCTCGAGACCTCGTTGATGAAGGGCTGGAAGACAGACTCCTCGTAGTAACCGACGATGAAAACCTCCTTGATCTCGGGGACGTTCGTGATAGCGCGGAAGCAGTGCTCGATTATGGGGTGACCTGCGACAGGGAACAGCGGCTTTGCAAGCATTAGCGGGGTGGGCGGGATGGAAGGGCAATTGTTTGGTCGCTAACCTTGGGCAGTTCCATAGACAGAGGCCTGAACCTGGTGCCTCGCGAGGGTCCTCCAACCTATGTTGTGAGCATTTGTCGTCTAAAGCGGGTTCTACAAAGTATTTACAAGGACTACGGCTTTTGTGCCAGCACCGGGCTTGGACCTCACGGAGAGGGAGGGTGGCTGCAAACTCATCTTGAAGGTGTTTGGTGTATGGGTCTTTCTGTGATATGCTGGACTCTCAATTAGAGCAAGAAACAAGGTGGAGGGAGTGTGAACGCGAATCTGTCCTCCAAAGGGGACGATGTTGGACCCTGGATGGCCAGACCCACGTAACTCGTAACCCCCGTTGGGCGGTGAGACCTGTTAGCGCACACCAAAAGTCAGCTGCATGCCGAACACGACCTCCATGCAGACAGACGTGGGAGTTTTTGTGGATTTTCATCTTTACAGAATACAGTAGTCGAAGTACCATCAGACTCCACATCCACAGAACGCTGAATTCCACACACATACTCTGCAGCAAGAACATAGCATTGATTTCTAGTAATAGCCTTCCCAGCCATACTTTACCCACATTACTACCAATGTCCTTGCGCTGTAACCCATAACCCCCAAGCTAAAGATGATCTACACAAGCGCATCACACACCCTTTCCCTCACACCCTCGCCGCACCAGCATGAGCCATCTTCTTGTTCTTCTTCATCAGCGCCGCGAGTTTCTTCTCCAAAACCTCGTGTTCCTTCTTCGCTGCATGCATTGCCTGCTCCGCCTCCTCCATGCTCAGCACGCTACCGCGGCCAGCACCCCTCCGTCCGGGTCCAGCAAATGTACCCGTATTGCCAGGCGCAAAACTAGCCATACCCGAGCTGCTCTCGATCGCGCTCATCAGGCCCTGGACATTTAAACCGCCCCGTCCAAGCGTGATATTGCCGTGTGCGTCAAGTCCAAATTCCTGACTGGAGTGGAAGCCCAAACCAGCACCGACAAGCGCTTCGAGACCCTGGACGAAGACACCGCCGAGCAGATCAGCGGCTATCATACCCATGCCGTCGATCTCTGTGCTGCCGACCGCGCCTCCTTCGACTACTGCTTTGGCCGCTTTGGCGAACTTGCCTACATTTACCGACATGTTCGCTGTGCCAGCGCCAGGCGGGCCTCCAACGGCAGCCATCTCAGGACGGGGCTGATTTGGTGGCGGGTTGTCTGTGAAAGGGAGAACGAATTGATTGAGATATCCGCCTGCATCTGCTGGAGTCTGGTGCTGTGGTTGAGGGGGAGGTTGCGGTGTTGGAATCTCTGGGGCTTGAACAGGAGGAAGCGGGAGCGTTGTTGATCCGAGCAGTCCGGAGGTTGGGTCGAGTTTTGGCATTTGGTGACCTGCGTTGTTGCCAAGTTTCTTGCCTGCCTCTTTGAGCGCTGTGGCGATGGCGGGAAGAACGTCTTTGGGCTGCGTCTCAGCGGTGGTGTTCTGAGCGTGGGCGTACCGACTTTGCCTATGAGGGTGGAAGCGAGCATGTCCCTTCAACTCTTCAATATGCTTCTCTAGCTCAAGAGCCTTCTGCTCCAGCTCCTCTGAAAGCCCCCAGAAAAACTTGCCATTAGGTGTGATCAGCGTCCTGGAGTCAGGTTTGCCATCATGTCCGTTAAGACGCACAGGCTTCTTCTTGGCGAGAGCATCAAGATCTGCTTCTGAGAAGTGGATCTTCAGATCAGGAGGGGCTGTAGGATGAACAGGCTGTGTCGCTCGGGACGCGTGTGTAAGTGACGAGGACAATGGTTTGAAGAACTCGAGCGTCGATGCAAGCAGTTCTCCCGTTCTTTGCAGGTCGGCCATAATCGATTGAGCGGTATGTTCGCGCTTCTCTTTAGGTAGTTCGGGAACAGGCTCTGGCTCCGGTGTGACTCTCGCAGAAGCCTTAGTAGGTTGCACTTTCTTTGCTGCAACCGGAAGTACTTCAGCTGGCTCTTCTTCCACCAAAGTAGGACGTGGGGAAGCAGGTTGACTTTTTGTGGTCGCTACTGCTGGCTTGGGAGCAGTCGATGGCTTCTTGGTCTTCTTCTTTCGTCCGATGATTGGCGCTTGGACGATTTCGACATCAGATTTATTATCATCGATTGCTAGCACTTGCTCTTCCTCGATCTGCCGCTTGCGTTCTTGCCTATCCTTCTTGGCTTGTGATTTGGTCTTCTTCCTCACCGGGGCACTTCCAATCCTGCCAGCTGCAGGGGGAGGGGAGCTGGCCCTCGAGAAGGAAGTTGATGTGACGGAAGCAGTGTCCGAGATTAAATCGCTTGCTGGTGTTCCAGGCTGGTTCAGTGAAGCGATGCTGGCTTGTCTAGACCGAAGCTTGTCGACTGTTGGTATTTGAGGAAGGGACGGGGTAAATGCTGCGGCCAGAGGCGGCGGGGTCTCAGTCTTTGGTGTCGAGACTATGCGCATGACTGGCGCTGAACGTTTCATAGGCGATTCAGTGCCCGCGCCTGCGGGACTGGCCGGAACAGAGCTCATTGACGCTGAAGGTAGCATGCGAAGACTTTTTGTGCGAGCATCGGTTTTGGGTGAACTCGTGACAGGAGACTGTTCAATCTCTGACACTTTCGTAGCAGCTACTATGTTGAGCTTGCCTGGAGGTTGTCGTTTAAGTGGTGAGACTGGCGTCGGAGCAGGAACTGGTATGTCTTTCGACACTTTTGGCGACTCTTTCCTGGGACTGGTCTCCGTGGTATTTACAGTCTTCTTTCCAACCGCCTTCGCCTTGGGTGTCTCCTTCGTAGTAGGGTCAGGTGATGCCTTTTTCTCTTTTTGTGCTTCTTTCTTCGGACTGCTCACGCTCTGTGGCATCTTCTTAGCAGGCTCGCCAGGAGTTTGCGGTTTGGCAACAGTAGCTTTAGCTTTTGCTCTAGTTGGCGTCACAGGGGGAGCTTTCGCTAGTATGGGCACTGCCGGGGTCGGTGAGTCGACTGAATCGGTATGCTGCTTGCCTTTCTTCGACTTCACGGTGTTTGCATCTCTAGTCGGTGTAGCGGGCATGACAGGTACCGCCGGTGTGATGGTTGACGACGTGGTGCGAGACATGGGACGGGATACTGGCCGAGAAAGCGCTTCAGCAGCCACAGTCTTGGGAATGGCCGGAACACTGAACCCAGGTGGAACTGCTGGTGTCGCTCTTCGAGGATGCTCAAAGAAGTTGCTGTTTAGAGGAGTACTCGGCGTACTTTGGACGGGCTCGCTTTCGTTGTCGTTCACAAGTGCATCAACATTGAAGGAGACTTGCTCTTCGGCACTGAAAGGTGCGTCGTCTGTACAAACCAGTCAGCCTTCTCTGGATAGCTACAATGTCCGAATACCACGCAGCGAGTTAGTGGTAATCAATTGGTACAGCGGCTGCCGGACGACTTTCAAGGGCGATATCGCCAATCAAGCAATTAGATACATCAGGCTGCATAGGAGTTTCTCTCGAACATCTTCGTCACTTAAAACAGGCAGAAGGATAGTGCGAAAGCCACCTCTCTATTAGAAAGTAAGCATGCCGACGATAGCGCGGCAGGAAGGGGAGTTACGTACATGCGATGACCATGACGAAGACGACGAGAGAAGCTGACCTGCACATCTGGCAAAGCAGCGTGATCCTCCCAGGCATGACAAGACATGAATGAAAAGCAAAGGTATTGAAATGCCACAATGACATGCAAAAAGAGAGCGAATGTGTGACCTTGGCCAACCCTTCGTAACGCCAGGCATCTCAGTGACAACACACTGATCAGTGTGCCGATGCATCTGCCGTGAAATAACAAAAACGCCATGCAGCCATAATCGAAAGAAAAGTACTAAAACAATATATCTGACCAAGTGGCCATGTAACTATGTGGATGAAGGGTATAGTCTACCATCGTCCGGCGCCGCCGTAATTGTTGTTCGCATAAAGGGCAGAAAATCCATTTGGAGCTTGGCTGTACAAGCCCTGGCCAACCATGCCTCCTTGATGCAATCTTGCCTGTAAGATACTTGGGTCTTGGACATCTGCAAGGCCACCTCCTCCAGAAGAGGAAGTGTTAGCGTGTCTGTGTTTCTTGCCCTTTTTCTTGGATTTCTGCGAACCAGACTCCTGGTAAGCGCCAGGCGAAGGCCCATAAGGGAAGCTAAGGAGGCCAGGGGCAGGGGCAGGCGTAGAGCTCGAGGAGTGTTGATTAAGGAAAGAAGGAAACATTGACTCACGCTTACCATCAGCAGTCCGGGCACCACCATCCATGTTCCTGCTTCGGAGCAGGTCCTGGTACATGGTATCGTTGGTGTTTCTACCGACAGCGTTCGCGCCGTAGCCCAAACCACCAGTAGCGAATCCATGACCTTGGCCAAACATGCCAGTGCCGCTCACAGGCGGTGTTCCAGTAGCTTTCAAACCTGGAGGTGGTCCTTGCACGTTAGTGAAGAACTGCCCACCCATTGGCTGATGCTGGGAAATTTGATTGAACGGGTTGGCGTTTTTCGGCATCATTGAGTTTTGCTGGTTCATAAGCTTCTGGTTCGCAACAGGCTGAACGTTTGCAGAAGCGGATGCGCTGTCATTGGCGAAGCTGAAGCGGGAAGTGTGTCGTGTGTGGCCGGAGTTGTTCCCACTCAATCCATGCTGCTGGTTTTGAGGATTCGGCGTAGACGACAGTAGTCCGGCAGATTGAGGCCCAGACTTGAAGTTGGAGAGAAGAAGTTGCTGCTGTTGCTGCGCCGTAAGAGCTCGACTGTTGAGACCGAGATTGCTGAAATCCTCCGCCAGGGGAACGTTCTGCCCGAAGAGGTTGCTCCCAAAAGCTTGGTTAGGTGGCGCAATAGCGTGCTGATTGAGATGGCCTGTAATGGTGTCGTGTCCCTCTTCTGGTTCGCCTCCCAACTGCAAGCTACCTCCCGCGGTCATCTCGGTTTCGTCGCGTTCAGGAGCAGGTGCTTGTTGCAATGCAGCTTTGATCTCGGCCTCGGCTTCTCGCTGGAGTGCTAGCTCTTTCTCCTTTTCCCTTGCGACCCGACGTTTGGCACCGCCATTGGGATCGAGTAATTGAGGGAATTCCGCGATGGCCTTGAATTCTTCTTCCGAGAGAGTGGCGCTGGAAAAGACGAATTTAAAATCTGGCGTGCATATGAACTTCAGAAGACCTTCGAGACCAGAATCGCGAGGCTTGGGGAGACGCGCAACTGGGGGTGGAGTAGGCTGCGGCGTTACTGATTTCGACGTTTCCGGGGACTTTTCCTTCTCCTTTTCCTTCTCCTTCTCCATTTCTTTTTCTTTCTCTCGTTCCTTCTCCTTTTCTTTTTCTTTCTCCTTTTCTTTCTCCCTTTCCTTCTCCTTCTCCTTCTCTTTGCTCTTCTTCTTGGGTGGTTCCTCAGCTTTTGGTGCCTTTGGCGGTTGCGCAGGAACAGCATTCGTTACGAGTGGACTTGGGTTCGAGGCGATGGTTGAGCGGCTCGCGCGACGTTCAAGGGCAGCTTTGCTCGCCCAGCCCGCCGTCGCTGGCAGACCAGGTGCTTCCATGGTGGGGCTCGGAGCATCGTAGTTGTCTTGTCGATTCGCGGAGGTTGCAGCGGCAACAGGGGGGCCAGGATGGGACGGGGGCGCGGATCGGGAAGTCGCTGACAGGGCGGGCTGCTGCGTCTGGATCGAGTTCATCATGGACAAGTCTTGTCGAGTAAAGCTTTCGTTGTCTTCGCCGGGCTCGTGCAGGAACATGCAATTGCGGTTGTTGCACTGCTCGCCGCGGAGATATGCAGAGCAGTATTTGGTCGTGCCGTGTTGGGCCCTACATCACAGATGAGCTTGCTAGGACGGGCATCGAATATAGCCATGTACTTACCTCAGCGTCCTCTCTCCGTTCTGTGAACTGTCGACAGCCTTGATGCATGCCTCGGCATCTTCCTTGCGGGCGAATGTCACGTAAACACCGACCGACTGGTGATGATTGGCATTTTCCCTAGCTTTGCTGACGACGATCTTGATGATCTTGCCATACTGGCCAAAGTACTCGGGGCCCCGCAGCGTGTCGAGCAGGCGGTCTTCGCGTATAGTCGGGGTCAGGCCGGTGACGTAGACGAGGTTCTTCTGGACGACTCGCAGGCCGGCGAGGTGTTTGCGGCTAAGCGAGTCGGCCTCTGCCTTCTGGGCCTCCTTCTGCCGTATCTGGGCGTTCTTCTTGGCCTTTTGGGCAATCTGCTGCTTGTGCTTGGCCATCCTGCTCAGCGTCAGAAGCGGTCAGCAAGGGGAGGTGCGGGAGACGCACTCCTCGGGGGTGATGTTCTTGAACTCGATGGTCGAGTCGTCGTAGGGACGGCGGCAGGCGGGACACAGGCCGTTCATGGTCGTCTTGATGTTGTTGTAGCAGAACTGGCATATCTGGCACGGGCGTCAGTAGGGCGCCGCGACTCGACGTGGCTTCAGCTGGGGGCGTACTTGGTAGCCGCAGGGACACGGGCGGAAGTTCTTGTCGGACAGGTCGAACTCCTCGACGCACAGCGGGCAGCACTCGTCCTCCTCGTCGTCGACGAACTGGTCCTGCTGTATGCGGGACATGGTGGAGGGTGTGGTGTGTGTGTGGTGTGTGTGTGGAGGGTGCGTGCAGACGTGGAGGGTGCGTGCAGACGTGGAGGGTGTGTGCAGGCGTGACGGGTGGCGGTCGAGCGAGCTGGGGCGGGCCGTGTGGTGAGAGGGCAGGAGCAGGGCGACGGCAAGGAAAGGGTCGCAGGTGGAAACAAACGCCGGCCGTGGGAGCAGAGGCAACGAGACAAGGGGATGGGTGCACAGGCGGTGGCTACCGTGCCGGCCAGAGGAGCCCGTCCAGCGCAAGGTCTGCTACACGGCCGCCAAGAACTAACGTGTCCGTGCGCGTAATGCCCGGATTCGCGTAATGCACGCAAACACCAAAACTATCCTATCTAAAAACAAGGCTATAGAGCTATATACAATAGCTATTATTATAAGATTTTATAGTAGAGTAGTAATTAATTACTTATAATTATTTTATACTACTTATATTTATTTAGGAGCTTAACGTTACAGCTGCAGTAGGTAGTAACAGCTAGAGTAGCTAGTGTAGCCCCTAACTACTCCCTACTACCTATATTATTAACTACCTATTTCCTATATTTAATACTGTATTTAAGAGGCCTTAAGGCCTTCCTTTTACTTTTTTAAGATAATTAGAGAGCCTATTTTATATTAAAAGCCTCTTTCTTACGTACTTACTTAGTAGCTAGGTTAGCCTTCTTCTTTCTTTTTACCTTTATTACTATAGCCCTTACTATATACTTCTTTTAAGCTATCTTCTCTTTATATAACTTAGTAGCCTTCTTTAACTTAGCTATTTTAGCTTTTTAGAGTTACTACTCCTTATTCTTTTAGTTCTTTACTAACTAGTAAATACGTACCTTTCTAACCTTCCTTAAAGACTAGAAAATAGCTCTCTTATAGTACTCCTAGTACTATTAAAGATCTAAAGGCTTACCTTTCTTATTATACTTCTTTTTAACTATTAGTACTTCTTTAAGTCTCTAAATCTTATAGTAAAGTAGCTTATTTTAAACTAAAATATAGTAGAGTAACTAGCTAAGCTTCTATACCTTCTAACTACTTTAATTCTATACTATAGTATATATAAGCTGCTGTATTTTCCTCTAATTAAAGCTACTAAGTACTAAGGTTAAGCTTTTATAAAACTTCTACTTATCTAAAGTAGTAATAGTAAATCTTTTAAGTATAATATTAGAGTTAAGGAGTAAGATTCTAATTACTTTAAAGAAGGTAAAAATTATTAATTCCTTAAAGGAGGTTATCTAGGCCTTCTAAAATAAAAGAAAGAAGTTACCTTTTTTAATTAAAAGTAGCTCTTAGCTGTTATAAAGGTAGTTTGAAAGCTTAGTTAAGTAGGTAGCTAAAAGAGGCTTAAATATTACTATATTAAGCAGCTAGAGTGTATAGGTTAAATAAGAAGGAAATATAGTAAGAAAGATCTTATTCTAATTATAGTACTTAATAAACTCTATTATTAGGTAAGATCTATAGCTATTAAGGATAAGTAACTAATAAGATTACTAGGCCTTCTTTATAAGAGGCTAACTCTAAGAGTAGTTACTAGTATAAATTAGATAAATTTACTAAGAATCTATAGTATTAGTTTTCCTCTACTTATAGTTCTTCTAGTAGTATACTAGCTATTTCTAGTAGGTGTTAGTAGTTAAGGTAGCTAAGCTCTAAGGCTTTACTTACTAAGGTTCTACTAGGCCTAGCCTATTATATAAGCCCTT